GTGCAAGTAGATAAATAGGTAAACGGCATTTCTGTGCGCAGCTCTGGTTCGCCAGAAGCGGCTTAGTCATGCTGGCCACATGACCTGGAAGCTGTACGCCGGCTCCCTCGACCAATAAAGCAAGATGAGCGCCGCAACCCCAGAGTCGGCCATGACTGGACCTAATGGCCAGGGGTCCCTTTACCTTTTTATGAGACTGTAGTGTATTTAAGAAATATGGTTTATTTACACATATTCACACCTGAAGCCTTCAGTGGAGGGGGTGCAGAACATTACACCCCAAGAGTGTCTCTTGCTGCTTCTCCCATAGCTTCAGCAAGCTTGGGTCCAGAGCAAAAACCAGTCATGCTGCCTGGTCTCTCGGTGCAACCAGCCAGCCCTGCATGCAGTTCTGGCTCCTCCCTTCTTCTCCCAAACCCTTGCAAAACGCAACCCAAGCCACATGCAGCATGGCCACACTGTTTTACCTTCAGGCTAAACTGGAATGCTAAACATTTCTCTGCCCGTTGTAACCCTGGCAACCCCTGTCTCACAGATTCTAGGGTCTTCCCTTGATGCGCTGATGACTGTCCATCAACATCCTTGCATTTCTTAACAACTTATGCACAGGCGATACCCCAGCCTGGAAGGACTAGCTCAGTCTACATTTTTTTCCTTACTAAATCCAACATCTGTCAGCTCACCTTAATTCTCAAGGTACTGATTAAACCCCACCACCCAGAAGTCTGCAGCGGTTCAGGGCACCCACAAACACATAACAGCAAGTAAATCATTTATAGGCTGGAAATTCTCCTGTTCTTGACCTCTTGGAGGTATCCTGGTGTCCCTTTTTAGGTGGAGCAGTTGAGACCTGGGCAGGTTCATTTTCTAACAGAACTTTTCACTTTCCCCCTTGGGTCTCGCCAGCAATGCTGGAGACATTTGTGGTGCTATTTGTACTGTGAAAGCTGCAGTAATTGCTTTCAGAGTAGGTCAGTTGTAACGATTTCTGCGTAGTGAAGTTGTTTGGGAGAAGGGCAGATTGCACAAGATCTTTTGCCGTTTCGACAATGTTTTGAGCTACCAACGTCTGTTTGTTTGCTATCAATTACCGGCAGGGTGCCGACTCAATTGATACACGGGTGCTCTTTGCACATTTAGATTCGGAGGGTTGCGCTGCTCTCTAAAGGTCATGCTTTGGAGAAAACAAGATCAAATTAGGCACCTGCTTTGTACGCCAAATTTCTCAGGGCTGTTAAACATTCAACCTCTTCTGTTCCGGCTAAAAGAAACAGCCATGCTACAAGGTGCAGGGAAATTTCAGTAGCAACCTGTAATGAATATAAAGTCACTAAAACGAACGGTCCTTCTTATCATTCTCTAGTTGCTTGTGCGGGACTAGTCAGAATCTGAAATTGCCCTTTTCTGGACCTTGCATCTCAATCCCTGGTGATGGCACATTATCAAACACATGTGTAAAATTCCTTCAACTCTATAAGCTTGCAAGGATTTGGAAAAGCTGGGGTTGTTCCTTTGCCTTGCACAGCTGCCAGCAGCAGATGAGGCACAGCCCCTTTGAGAAGTACGGTGGTACTTTGGTTCTCAAACTTAATCCGTTCCAGAAGTCCGTTCCAAAACCAAAGCATTCCAAAGCCAAGGCGCGCTTTCCCATAGAAAGTAATGCAAAATGGATTAATTCGTTCCAGACTTTTAAAAGCAACCCTTAAAACAGCAATTTAACATGAATTTTACTATCTAACGAGACAGTTGATCCATAAAATGAAAGCAATAATCAATGTACTGTACTATAAAATAAATAAGACAGTATTGTAGATGAAAAAAATTAAAATTAAATTTTTCCTTACCTGCACTAATGATAGTCATTGTTTGGATTGGGGGCTTTTATCCATTTCCGCAGTCACACAATCAATCAGTCAATCAATCAGTAGCTGAACTGGGTTCCACACAGTCACAAAAACAAATTAACCGAGAAAGCCTCGAAAACAAAAATGCAAAATAAATAGCAAAAACAAAGGAGCCAAACTTAATCTGTTCTGGAAGTCCGTTTGACTTCCGAAATGTTTGGAAACAAAGGCGCAGCTTCTGATTGGTGCAGGCGCCCCAGAAACAATAGCCGACAGCCGCATCAGACGTTCAGCTTTCGAAAAACAGAACACTTCTGGGTTTTTGGCGTTTGAGAACCAAGGCGTTTGAGAACCAAGGTACCACTGTTTGGTGGTTCTCATGCACCTTCACCACACATATATAGGAGTCTTGTTGGGGGTGTCTGCCTGGCTCCCAACATCCCAGAATCATGCTTTGAACTCCACTGCTTTCACCTTGTGCCACTCTGTTCACAAAATGCAAAGGCAATGAGGTCTAGTGGGCAAACACAAGTATTTGACAAGAGATGTCCAACTGCATCCAATTACATCTGTGTGGACTCTAGGTTAGCTTCCTTTTAAGAAATGATCGCTATTATTTATCTGTGGAATTTGTCACTTTCATTCCAATGTCAGCTGCCAATCATTTTTCTCTCTGTGCATTCATAGCAGAAGAGTTGCACCTTCATCTAGCTCTGATCAATGAATGGTTTTATGCATCTGTTTGCTGTCACAAGTCATACGCCACATAAAACAGTAGTTTTAAGTTAGGTTATAAAAGAGATACAGAGGATAAAATCAATTAAAAATAACCACAACATCAGAAAAGCATACTTAAGATGCCTACTGAAATAATAATAATAATAATAATAATAATAATAATAATAATAATAATAATAATATCACCAAGCTGCTGCAGTTTGTCTGATCTCAGCTGGGAGGAATTTCCACATAATTGGACTCTCCCTATGGGGCCACCAGTAGCAACTGTCTCAGAGACTTCGGCGATTGGGCAGTCCTTAAAGAATTGGGCAGCCCTTAATGTTTCTTGGGACCAAGTATGGGCTTTTAAAATCAGCACAAGATCCTCCACTTTGAAAAGCAGCAGGGACTGTAAAAAGAACAGTGATTATTCAGTTCCTGCGGCATGAGGGACTGATGGCAGGGAAACTTTGCTTGGTTTTGAGCAATTGGAAAGGCTTATGGGTACGCTGACCTTCAAATGAAAAAAAGAGAGACTTCGGGTAGACTCTCACAGCATCTGCCTGCAAGTCTAGTTCATTGTACTTCTGATTCTGCATACCAGCGATTAATGTCCCTGGAAAAGACAGGTCTCGCTTTTCCCCATGGCGAATTGTTGGAATCTGTCTTTGGAGTGTGCAAATGTATGCTGATGCCATATTTGCTATGGACATGCTCAGTTGGAAGTACCCTGTAGGGGAAGTATGGGGTCAGGCATAGTTATCTGGCATTTATTCAGTATACTAAGGCAAAAATGAGAGCAGTGGCCCAATGCTATGTGTCGAATTCTGCAACAAAGGGTGTGTTTCGTTTAACTTCTTTGCAGCAGGCTAATTTGGACTGGTACAAGTAGTGCTGTGATCTAAACCACTGAGCCCTAGGGCTTGCCAATTGGAAGGTTGGCGGTTCGAATCCTCGCGACAGGGGGAGCTCCCGTTGCTCGGTCCCAGCTCCTGCCAACCTAGCAGTTCGAAAACACACCAAAAAGTGCAAGTAGATAAATAGATACCACTCCGGTAGGAAGGTAAATGGCGTTTCCGTGCGCTGCTCTGGTTTCGTCAGAAGCAGCTTAGTCATGCTGGCCACATGACCTGGAAAAACTGTCTGCGGACAAACGCCGGCTCCCTTGGCCTGTAAAGCGAGATGAGCGCTGCAACCCCAGAGTCGTCTGTGACTGGACTTAACTCTCAGGGGTCATTTACCTTTTTTACCTTTAATTTGGACTGAGGCTGCGGTGTGATAGTTTCCTAGAAAGCTGGTCAATCATAATAGTGCCAGTCATGCCAGACTTCTAATAGTTGTTTGCCCCTGTTAAACAGATATAATTCTTAGTAGCAGGTGACGTCCAGCTAAGTAATACTCACAGCAGTCATGTTGGAATCAATGGATCTATTCTGGTATGACTTAATTGGATATCATTCTGTGTTGGGTGATGCAGGTATGCACCCTTGGTTTGCTTCATGGTGATAATGATGAGGAAAAAACCTGTACTCCTTGACCTCTGAATTTGTACCTCCTAGTAGAAATTCTGAATTTGTACTCCCCCAGAAAATCTCAGAATAATAACTTTGGAGAGACTTTATTGCTAGTGAATCCGGGGACAGATAGAATGGATTTTCTAAAAACTGTAACTGTATGCCGGATGCTTGAGGTCCCATTTAAATAGTTTGTCAACAAAATCCACATTAGGATCTCTAGCATCACAGAATAAAACAAAATATCTCTAGCAGTATTTTAGCATTTCCACAAAGGGTGTGAGGAGATACATTTAAAACACTTTGGCAAGAAGAGATGACAACACTTTGCTGAAAGGAGGGGAAGGATAATTACGAGAGTATAAGGATAATTTATTGGCTGTATTCATATTGAAGTTTTTTTAAAAGTACAGTGGTGCCTCGCAAGACGAAAAGAATCCGTTCCGCGAGTCTCTTCGTCTTGCGGTTTTTTCGTCTTGCGAAGCAAGCCCATTAGCGGATTAGCGCTATTAGCGGCTTAGCGGGCTTAGCGGATCAGCTGATAAGCGGCTTAGCGGCTTAGCGGATCAGCTGATAAGCGGCTTAGCGGATCAGCTGTTAAGCGGCTTCGCGATCAGCTGTTAAGCGGCTTAGCGGCTTAGCGGATCAGCTGTTAAGCGGCTTAGCGGATCAGCTGATAAGCAGCTTAGCGGCTTGGGAAAAAGGGGGGGGGGAGGGAAAAAACCCTGCAGGAACTCGCAAGACATTTTCGTCTTGCAAAGCAAGCCCATAGGAAATTTGTTTTGCGAAGCACCTCCAAAACGGAAAACCCTTTCGTCTAGCGGGTTTTCCGTCTTGCGAGGCATTCGTCTTGCGGGGCACCACTGTAAAAAAGAAGTACTAAATCATGACGGGATGCTACATTTTTAGTTTCTCTTCACAGGCTTACTGGAAGTTCGGGGTATGTAACAGATGGACCTGGAAACTATAAATACAAAACGAAATGCACATGGCTTATTGTGGGAAGGTAAGAAGCAAACACCTTTATATTCACGGGATGGAATTGTGCCGTATTCTTGCCTGTATGTAGCTACATCATGATGTTTTTAACTGCTTTCCCAGTTGGCTTATATTTTGCTGTCCAGTTGCTAAACAGGAAGGAATTGCTCTTGAACAATTATTGAAACTGGCCCTAATTTTGAATTCCAGCAGTGTTATGCTGTTGTTTTTTGGGATGAGAATTCTTACCAAATTTAAGAACCGTTCGTAGGCCGCGGTCTGGTCCAGTCCGTACAAAAACGGCATCCATCTCGCTTTACTTTGGAGAATAAGACTTCTTCCTGGCCTATAGCAAAGACTACAGCCTGTCATTTGGAATAGAGCTATGAGGATTAAGCCCCAGAGAATCTCTCACCTCCCATTTCTTCAGGCTGTGGTTCAGCATCAGCAGAGACAGGGAAAGATCCGAGTTATATCGGGTGACATAATTAAAAAATACCAACAATTTGGTGATTCGGCTTTCTGATCATGGCTACTATTCTCCTTGGGTTGGCAAAAGAGAGGAAGAACAATTATTGTTCTCTCTCAAGCTTAAACGTGGGTCACAGCCTAGCTGCCCAGATATTGTGCCAAAGGCAAGAGGCAGCATATTTCATGACTTTTCCTCTTGTGCAAGGAAACAAAACCCAGCATTTCCCCAACGAAAGCTGGCACTTCTCTGATCCTGTCCCAAATTCACATTTATTCAGACAGACCTTCAGAGGTTCTGTCAAGCTTTCAGCCAAGGTCCTACAGTGGTGCCTCGCAAGACGAAATTAATTCGTTCCGCGAGTTTTGTCGTCTTGCGATTTTTTTCGTCTTGAGAAGCACGGTGTCGGGAAAGTTTAGGAAAAGCTTCAAAAATCACCAAAGTCTTTAAAAACCTCAAAAAAGGCTACCACACCGCGTTCTATGAGTTGCTCCTCGAAGTCAAGTCGCAACTGTATTAACGGTGTTAAGAAAAAGGAAACAAACTTGCAAGACGTTTCCGTCTTGCGAAGCAAGCCCATAGGGAAAATTGTCTTGCGAAGCAGCTCAAAAAACAAAAAACCCTTTCGTCTAGCGAGTTTTTTGTCTTGCGAGGCATTCGTCTTGCGAGGTACCACTGTACTATGATATTTGATTTTCCCCTAGCAGATTTTAGTGGTTTCTTAGCAGGATGATTCTTTTAAAAATAAAAAAAATTAAGAATGGCGCTTTTATAGTTCCATTCCTTTTGAAGGGTGCTTATGTTTTTGTTCAGTCATAATGTTTTGTGGTATTTTTAGGCTGGATGCTGGCAAGCCCAACCTATTTTGAGATTCTGGAGCGCTTGATGCATTTACGTTTGCGCACATATGTTGGGTCAGAAATCGTGCAGCGGCGGCGCAGTGGCAGCAAGAGGCCCCATTAGCTAAAGTGGTGCTTCAGGGTAAGAACAGTTTCAGGTTAAGAACAGACCTCCGGAACGAATTAAGTACTTAACCTGAGGTACCACTGTAGCATGAAGCTGGTCACCAGGACCTAGCTTTTACATAGGAATATTTCCTCATTGTGTTGAGATTATAATAGCCTGCAGAATTTCAGCTTTGGCTAATTCTTCAGGATTTAGTAAAACCTATTGTATGGGGACCAACTTGGAAGAAATGCTCACTACAAAAAAGGGGTTGATGGAAGTTATGAGGCAACAGTCATTGCATCACAATAAAATAACTTGAAAGAACAGATGATGATACAATATTAGAGGCAAGCTGTGGCTTTGCTTGCAAAAGAGAGCAATATGTTGAGGGTCTGTGGAAATAACGCCGCTTGTTTTCTTCCCACAGGCCGAACTCGATCCTTAGGCTCCGTTTTAATCATTTTGCGACGGAATGCAGCTGGGACCACTTGTACGTATATGATGGGGATTCGATTTATGCTCCATTACTGGCTGCTTTTAGGTAAGCCCCAGAGAACAGTGTGAAACTAATTGGTTTGTCGTATTTGTTTGATGCAATTCTTCATGTTTTGTCTTGAAAGTCTGCGGTTCTTTTTTTTCTGTCCTAGGATCAGGAAACGCAGGGAAAGTATTATATGGTATATTTTTTGTTTGTAGTTCCCACATTACTTGAGTTTCTATCCCTTTGCATATCTGTGCATGTGGTGAACACAGGAAAAGCCTTTGCACAGCAGTCCTCACTGTGCTGTGCTGCTGTTCCACTAGTTTTCCTTTCGACTCACATTGGAGCTTTGACTGATTCCAGCCAAATGTGATGGCTATGCATGATTTGGCCACCTTGAAAACCTTTTTCCTTGCCCATCAGGTGCCTTGACACGTCTGCATTTCAACAGGAGATGCACTTGGGTTCCATGTTGCTTTTATTTGCGTGCTTTAGGAAGGGGTCAAGACTGAGAACTTGACAGTAGTTCCGTTTCTTCCTCTTTGCCCAGATGTCATATAGTGAGGCCGTGGTTCATCTGGGAAAATAATATAGATCTCTCCCACCCCAGTCGTTAGCAAAGATCTTGCAGATACTTGCTTTGAATTGCATTTTCATCTGTAAAGCTGAAGTGAGCTTATTAATGGGGTTTCAGGAAGCTTAAAGTGTTTCGAAATGGCATAAACGAGAAATCACTGCCTGGGGATAAACACCGTTTTCTACATAGAAATAGTCTTTTACCTTCTGTTTTATCTTGAGATGAACTTGTTCATTTTGACACTTGCCAGTTTGGCAATCCAGAATTGGCTTAAGTGAACTTAATTTAGAGCAAGGTTAAGCAGATGTTTCTGTGTTTGGCGTCTTCAGCTCATGCTGTTGACAAACTCATAAGCGTTTCTTCTTGCAAGTAGGCAAGCTTTGATATTCCCCCAGGTGCCTAAGAATAATGAACTTCCCCATCACTTGTCTATCTGATTTGCTGCTGGCTTCTACAAAGTGGATTCTGATCCCTAGGTAATATAATGCTGGCTGCAGCTTGACTCTTTCGATGATGTCTTCATATGGCCTAAAGCTTCCAGGTGCTGTTGTAGATACTGATGACAAACACAGTTGGGCAAGTGACTGCCTTGACATCTTGTAAGCCCCAACTTCATTAAAAGTCCCGCCCTGCCTGATGGATCTACTGTCATTCAGTTGCATCACACGAAACCATCATTGGAGCAAGAATCAAGACTGACATGCTTAGCTCGGTCTAAGTCTCCTTTTCTCTCCCTTGACTGCCAGTGTTGCTTACACCTTCAAATGGCAGCTGGAACCTGACAGCTGCCTAAAGCAACCTCATTGGGCTTTTGCTCCGTAGATATCTGTGTCTTCTGGTGCCTTAAATAGCAAATCCTGGGTAGTCAAGTAATTTTCCCATTCTGGAATCTTGGCTGGCAGGCAAACAGGTTCCTTCCAGAAGAATAAAGTCCTGGCGTTCTACTGGTTAACTCTGCTATTACAATGGGTTTGTCTATGAACAACTACTTCAACGGCCTGGAGATGTTTTAATAGTTCTCCACTGTGATGGGAAAACAAAGCACTTGTTGTTCCTAGCTGCCCCTTGGTTGAACAATTGGGTTCACTTGACATTAAGCTATGATGAAACATTGACTTTAGAGTGACAGGCATAAGAGGGCTGCAAATATATAATTAATCTTTAGGCACCTGAGCCTACGAGGATGCATCAAGTGTGAAATTATTTCTCTTAATGCTTTAATGTGCAAAAGTCGAGTGGCAGTAATTTTTCTCTAGAGAAGGTCTTGTTTGTTGGAACCTTGCATATACCAAGGTGTCTAGACAAAGGATTTCTAACCAGGAAAAAAAAAGTATTCAAATTGCATGAAAGTGGTAGACGAGATTGGACAGGCTTTCTCAGGTTCGTGATGTGGGGTGCTGACTCTTGCACCCCATGCACGGCCCACCTTAGCTATTGTTGTTGTTTAGTCGTTTAGTCGTGTCCGACTCTTTGTGACCCCATGGACCAGAGCATGCCAGGCACTCCTGTCTTCCACTGCCTCCCGCAGTTTGGTCAGACTCATGCTGGTAGCTTCGAGAACACTATCCAACCATCTTGTCCTCTGTCGTCCCCTTCTCCTTGTGCCCGCCATCTTTCCCAACATCAGGGTCTTTTCCAGGGAGTCTTCTCTTCTCATGAGGTGGCCAAAGTCTTGGAGTCTCAGCTTCAGGATCTGTCCTTCCAGTGAGCACTCAGGGCTGATTTCCTTAAGAACGGAGAGGTTTGATCTTCTTGCAGTCCATGGGACTCTCAAGAGTCTCCTCCAGCACTATAGCTATACCATTTGCATATTATGAGGCATGCACCATTTGCATATGATGGGACATGCACCTTTTCTGTGCCTGAGAGGACCTCCGTTCACTGAGGAGGTCAGTTCTTCTGGAAGTCTGCACATGCCCCAGAACTATGGGTGTGATCAGGCTTTGCTTTGATCAGTGAGAACATCATTGTGATCACCACAGTTGTGTGAATCAGTGCAGATGTAAGCTGGAAGTGTGTGGGAGTCACAAGCAAGCAAGAGGTTGCACTTGGACTAACGTAATTCCAGAATCCGGTGCTGTAGCGAATGTGAGTGAGGCGTATCATTGGCTGGTTTTTATATTACTTTACTGTTTTCATTGGAATTGTTGCGTTCTTAGTTTCTATATTTGAGGTACCCCACCCTGGCATCACTTGCTTGATGAAGGGTAGGCTAAAAATGAAATAAATAAAAAGGGCTCCGATCTCTCATTTTGTGTGTTTGTAGTTCTCAGCTAGCTAGCATCCCCTTCCTTAATTAGACAAGTACCCTTTTGCATTGTTTGAGAAGCGCAAGGCCAAGAGCTCTTTATCTGAAGGACTGTCTGGTCCAAGGCTGGTTGAAGAGTGAAGAACCATTGGAAGGCACAGCGAAGTGCCCACCCACAGCCAGCACCTGGAGAGATGTATTTCCATTCAAATTATAGAAATTATTTCTACACATACAAATTACCGTAGCACATACAAATGTGTGTCCTCTTTCATTCCCTTTTGGGGTCGATTCATTTCGACTTCGTGGCAATGCTTAGGTGGCATGCTATCTCTGAGAGAAATGTTTTTATTTTATTTATTAAATTTATATACTGCCCTTCATCTGACGAGCACATGCAACAAGGAAAACTCCCTCCCTTCCATATATGTGTGTGTTGAATTCTTGAGTGTTTTGCCTCCTGTGATTTGGAGCATTTTATATGTAGTTGGAACCTTTCCATTCTCGAAAAGTACAAAAGGAAGATAAATGGTGTTTGAAAATATGTTTGATTTTGATTGCTTTGACCTCTTCCTGATTTTTGAGAGAGAGAGAGAGAGTTTAAATGGACAAGATAGATAACTGATCCCTGTTAGTTGCTCTTGAAAGTGCCCCCATAGATATTGCTCCCATCCATTTGATTAGATTTTAAATGTGCATGGTTGCATATTTGCCCATCTAAAGATGATGATGGGAAGGTTTTTTTTAATGCGTGCCTTCATAATTAAAACCAGATGCATTATCCAGATTAAATGATTCGGATATTGACTCAGGTGAATGAGAGTTTCATTTTAGTGACTAAGGCTGCAGTCCTAACCCCACTTACCAGGAAGTGAGCCCCATTGAATCCAGTAGGACTTAACTTGGAATAGTCACAGTTTGGCTTGTGCTGCAGGTTGTATAAATTGTGCTATTCAGTGATATTGATGGTATTTGTGAACTGTTTGTTGGTCAGATGTTATGCTTTTGTCTCCATATATTACTTTGTTGGCCAACTTTTCTACTGATAGGGCTGTGTGGAGTCTTCCATCTAAAGCTATGTCTTCGATGTTGCATCTTTGCCTGTTCTAGCTCCTAATGCAGCTGTGCCTTGTCTTGTCTCTCCCTGTACAGTGGCCTGATCGTTCCCGAGAGGGAGAGCAACGAGACGGTCCCAGAAGTTGTAGCCACCTCTGGTTATGCTCTCCTCCATTTCTTCAGCGATGCGGCATATAACTTGACAGGATTTAACATCACCTACAAGTAAGTTGCAGCTGCAGGTATGCGAGGAGTGCCAGAATGAAAGGCTTTGAAGTACTGCTTTAAATTCACTTGTCAGTTTCTCCCTGCTAGCGTTTACAGTTGGTTTTGAAGCAATAGCTCCTTGTGGATTTAGCTTGCATCTTGAATCAGCACTTCATTTACTGTATTTTTCGCTCTGTAAGATGCACCAGACCACAAGGTGCACCTATCATGCCCTGCTCTAAAAAAAAAGTTTGATTTTATTACTCATACTTGGATCTTTCAAATTCCCAATTTGTGATCTCTAATTCTTTACACTGAACTGGGATTTTTAAACACACACTGAACTGGGATCTAAAACACACCAATGAAACAAATGGCAATCTGGGATGTAGCAACAAACATTTCCCAGAACTTGAAATTATAGAAACTGTAGCATCATCTTGTGGCGTCAGTTGGTATTTCACTGTACAAAACCTTGAAGGACAGAAGAAGCTGATTTATACCAGGTCAGATGATTTGTCAGTCCAGGCCAGTAGCGTCTTGTCTAACTGGAGCGACTTCCCCCTACCCATTACTTGGAACCTGATGGTTCTTAACTGGATTTACTGGGGACTGAACCTTGGAAATTCCACGAATAAGGCATGTGCCCTGCAGTGAACCGAATGACCCTTTTGTAGTTCCTTGTTTAAAAAATACCCCATGCATACCCCAGCTGCCCTGACTCAGCAGAGCTGAAGCAAGTGATTTGATGTACAAGTTGTTACTGATCCAGATCTCCTAGACTGGAGAACTTAAGCCAGCCTCCTAACAGATGAGGACCACATGATCTCACCATCATTTATTTGTATGCCACCTTTCCAAAATTAAAACCATGTTCAAGGTGGCTCACAACATGAACAGATTTCCATAACAACAGAAGTAGTCATAAACAATAAATAAAACACATCAAAAATTGGCAAAAAAGACACTAATAAATTTAATGAGTAATAATCACTGGGGAACAATTCCCCCCCCCCCCATTTTCTGTTGCATGAGATTTTTCAACTGTTCATGTATGTTCTTTCAAGGCTGATTCCAAATCTGAAATCAATTTTTGTGTACATGCTATAGTTATCTTTCAATTTCCAACTTTTGCCGATATGTCATATTTACACTGGGGATAAGTGGACACTGACTCAGTGATCTACCCTAACCACATGGTAATTATTGTTTTGCAAACTTAATTTTTCTTTATTTTTATGGTTTTGTAACCTAAATACTTGTATTTTTCAGATCAGACCATGGCTTCTTCAAGTAGACAAAAATGTGTAAACAAGCCTGGTGCCTTTTGTTATGTATGTGGCTGCGGGTGTCAATGCAACAAAATTTTTGTTCCCCAGCGTAATCCACAATCATACCGTTATCTCTTTTGAATATTTCACCTTCCCTCACCTGGGCACAGCCATGTTACCTATTTTGTAGCTCTGCAGCTGCTCCTTGTCTAGCTACTTTTTTCTAGGTTCTGCCTATCAAACCCTTACACTCAGATCATTAACTCCAAAGGCTGAAAACTTTCTGATTCTGTGCACTAAGTCTCCAGAAACATGTTTCGAAAGTCTGGAAGAGTTCTGTCCTTTCACCACCCTTTTTCCAAGCATAATTTGGTTGATTAAAGGGCAAAATTGTATTGCATTCTTTTCCTTTTCTTTCCCCCAATTACTATGACATACTGGGTTTCGATCCGGACGTTCCTCCCAAGGGAGCAGTAAAACTGCTAGCTTCCTGATCATATTTGGCATGAGTCTTGGTCGTTTGCTGTTGCCAGTCTCCCATTTCCCGGTGCTATGACAACCAATCTTTGATATGACCTTTTCCTGATTCTCCGTCTGCAGCTTTGATGTGTGCCCTCATAACTGCTCTGGCAGAGGGGAGTGCAGGGTCACCAACAGCAGCAAAGTGGTTGAGTGTGAGTGTTCAGAACATTGGAAAGGAGAAGCCTGTGACATTCCATTCTGCCCAGACGACTGTGGCTCCCCAGAGAGAGGGCTGTGCAACGTGAATGGTACCCAAGGATGTGTTTGCAACTCGGGCTGGCAAGGTAGGTGGCAAATGCCCTTTTGTAATACAAGTATTAGAGTTTGAAATGCTTAGCAAGGATTTGAATGGTGCTGGCATTTTTTGTTTCCAGTTTGATGTGAGCTCCCTTTGCTTGGTCCCTGCTCCTGCCAACCTAGCAGTTCGAAAGCATGCCAGTGCACATAGATAAATAGGTATCATTGTGGCGGGAAGGTAAACAGCATTTCCGTGCGCTCTGGTTTCCGTCATGGTGTTCTGTTGCACCAGAAGCATTTTACTCGTGCTGGCCACATGAGCCGGAAAACTGTCTGTGGACAAATGCCAGCTCCCCTGGCCCGAAAGCAAGATGAGCACCACAACCCCATAGTTGCCTTTGATTGGACTTAACCGTCCAGGCATCTTTTACCTTTTTATCTTTACCTACATACTTAGATTCCTGCCAACCTAGCAGTTCGAAAGCACGTCAAAGTGCAAGTAGATAAATAGGGACCGCTCTGGCGGGAAGGTAAACGGCGTTTCTGTGCGCTGCTCTGGTTCACCAGAAGTGGCTTAGTCATGCTGGCAACATGACCTGGAAGCTGTCTGCGGACAAATGCCGGCTCCCTTGACCTATAGAGCGAGATGAGCGCACAACCCCAGAGTCGGTCACAACCGGACCTAATGGTCAGGGGTCCCTTTACCTTTTTTACATACTCAGATAGCTGCTAACACCTATCCCGTTAGCTATCTATTTAGATTCACTCATCCTGCATCCCCAAGTTCCTTGGCAACTCTTGTTCTGCTCCTAGGGTGGAAATTTCTATTATTTCTTCCATTCTTCTGCTGCTCCTATACTTCCTCCCCCTAGTCCCTTCTTATCCGTACCTTTCAAAGCTCCTTTTCTTTATTCAGGTCCCCTCTTCCTCCTCCTCTCCTCCTTTTTAGAGCTTATTACCTGTAAATGTCTGTCAATATAAATGTAGCTCTTAAGTGATGGAAAGTATGTAATACTGTTCTTGACACATTTGGTTTTGCTTCTCCTAGGTACAGACTGCTCAGTACCTGTCCCAGCAAACCAGTCGTTCTGGACTCAGGAGGAATTCTACATCCCCAAACTTCCTAGAGCATCTCATAAAGCCGTAGTCCAAGATGATGTCATGTGGGTAGTTGGTGGTTACATGTTCAACCACACGGATGCTCAAATGGTTTTGGCGTGAGTACAAACAAAACTTCAAAATGTTTTAATGGGAAATGGTAGTGAGGGGTTTCATTTTGCTCTTGTGTTGACCTGTGCTAAATTTAGAGGGAACCAATATGTTGGGATGTGTAACAGCCAGTCGTTTGACTGTAGTACTGTGCTGGCCCTGCTCTCCCTCTGCTCTTCTGAAGTATAATAGTAGTAGTAGTAGTAGTAGTAATAATAATAATAATAATAATAATAATAATAATAATAATAATAATAATATTTATTTATTTATACCCCACCCATCTAGCTGAGTTTCCCCAGCCACTCTGGGCGGCTCCCAATCGAGTGTTAAAAACAATACAGCATTAAATATTAAAAGCTTTCCTAAACAGGGCTGCCTTCAGATGTCTTTTAAAAATAGGATGGCTGCTTATTTCCTTGACATCTGGTGGGAGGGCGTTCCACAGGGCGGGCGCCACTACCGAGAAGGGCCTCTGCCTGGTTCCCTGTAACCTCACTTCTCGCAGGGAGGGAACTGCCAGAAGGCCCTTGGAGATGGACCTCAGTGTCTGGGCTGAACGATGGGGGTGGAGATGCTCCTTCAGGTATACAGGACTGAGGCCGTTTAGGGCTTTAAAGGTCAGCACCAACACTTTGAATTGTGCTTGGAAACGTGCTGGGACGTATAGCTAAGCTGTTTCTTGCCTTGTGCTCTCCCTTTCCTTAAAAGATGGTGATACCTGGTGATCTCTCTGCAGTCTTGCACACGGGCTCTGTGGCTGTGCAGAGCAAGGTTCGAAACCTAGAGCTAGGTGGAAAGGTTTTTGTGGAAAGGGCCTATGCTCAGAAGGGCCTGGCTCCTTCCTTCCTTCTTCCCCAGCAAAGCTTCCTCTTGGTGGCAGAAGATGATGTGTCATTAGGAACTTTATGATTTCTCTCCGCAAAATGCAAAGCTAGGCTTTCCGACCCCAGTCTACCTTATTCTCTGTCATTTCCTGTGTATTTGTTTCATCTCTGTTTCCCCTGTGATTTATGTGATGTCTGGTGCTGCGTCCGTTGCAGCTGAACACTATGTGTGGCATTGAGTTTCTGTGGTGGCCATGATTGCTGCCTCTTTTTTTGCTTCAGTGAAGGTGGACAGGTCCTCTTGTTTTCAGGTTACCTTGTGTAAGGAGGTCACCTTGGCAGCAGATGCCACAGCCTGAGCTCCCAGAGCTTCATTGGTCAAGCAGCTCGGCTTTGCCCTCTCACCCTTGTTATTGATGGCTGAGTCCTCCCCATGGACCCTTCCTAAGCGGTTAACAGGGGACTGCCTGGCACCTGTAACTGCTTAGGAAGGGACCATGGGGAAGACTCAGCCATCAGTAACGAGGACTAAGACAAAGCTGAGACAAAGCTGTGCTCGAATGATGCAGCCATGTGAGTGTTGCTAGTTGCATAGATGCCTTCTGTGGTCCCAATTCCTCTCCCTGATAGGATGCCAGTTCCATGGGGGAGACTTGCATGGCCAGCCTTGCATGTAATTGTTGAGACATTTTGGTGCAACCTTTGAAGCCTGGCACCTGCTTGCAGAAGAAGTGTCTCCCAAGCTACGGGTAAAGGGTGCCATGGGAGCCTCTTAATCGTGTATATGCCTTTCACTGTCTCTCTGTATTGGCTATACGTCATTAAACTAATACAGCTGAGGTCAACAAAGGCAACCCAAATAGGTGGCAATTCACAGAATTGTGTCTGGAGCTGGCTTACAGCCACCGAACTCCAGGGTAAAAAAGTTTCATGAAGAAGGTCCTTACTGATCTTCAGGGAGAATATTTGGAGATGATGCTGAACAAAAATGAATAAAAGCATTCCTCTTGTTTCTGCTGCTTCTTTCCTGTCTTGCTTGAATTCATTTTGAGGGTCTGTTTTCTCTATCAAAGACCACAACAAATGCAGCCCCTGATATTGCCAGCAGAAGCACTGGAGTCAAATCGGTTTTTGTTTTATCCGTGTGCTAGTTTGATCATTAAACACCCCTTTTAGCATTTTTACTGTGTTTGCCCTATTCTTGTCCCATATGCATTATGAGAAGTATAAATAGCAGCTTTGTGCTCGGGCGTGCAAAAGGGATACATCAGTGTATTTTACCTTTTTCATTATGCAGGTATAATCTTCTTTCCGGAGAATGGTTGCCCCTGAACAGCAGCGTGAATGCAGTTGTGATCAGATACGGGCATTCCCTGGACATACACGAAGTAGGTGACTTTGCTGGAGTTATTGAGGCTGCGACTTGTGTTCACATTGTATTGTAATGGCCATTGGCTGCAAACAATAAAATCGATTGGACTATTATTAGAACTATTGAGGCTGCGTTTCCAATCTGGTTTGAAATTCTGGATCTGCTTTGGGTGAACTCTTCTCCCAGTAGAAACACCAAGGAGAAGCATTCAGTATTCCACGTCTGTTTTGGCAACCGCCCACATTGTACGTTCTCTTGATAGTGTTGGTGGGACATGACGCAGATCAGCTCATCTTTGGGCATAGTCTGTTCTCTGGGGATCAAGTATGCTGAAGCAGCTCTTTGGTGACTCTTAAGAAACAGTGAAGGGACACGGGTGGCGCTGTGGGTTAAACCACAGAGCCTAGGGCTTGCCGATCAGAAGGTCGGTGGTTCGAATCCCTGCGACGGGGTGAGCTCCTGCTGTTCGGTCCCTGCTCCTGCCAACCTAGCAGTTCGAAAGCACGCCAGTGCAAGTAGATAAATAGTTACCACTCCGGCGGGAAGGTAAACAGCGTTTCCATGCGCTGCTCTGGTTCGCCAGAAGCGGCTTAGTCATGCTGGCCACATGACCCGGAAGCTGTACGCCGGCTCCCTCGGCCAATAAAGCGAGATGAGCGCCGCAACCCCAGAGTCGGTCACGACTGGACCTAATGGTCAGGGGTCCCTTTACCTTTACCTTTAAGAAACAGCGAGATGAGAGCAGACTAAAGAGCTTTGATACAGTGTCTTCATTTAATGCATTTGCATGCCACCTTTCCTCCAACCAGATGATGCAGCTGCTCCTTCCTCTGTTCAGGTCAGGCTGAGGAGGAGAGGCTTGAGCAATGCCACGAAAGTGACTTCCTGCCAAAAGATAAGATGTGATAATTCCCACTAGAGTGGATGGTTCTAATAGGGTATTTTAAAAATCCACATGGAGGAGAGGCCTATGAACGGGCATGAGTTCTGTTGTCTACATTCAGCACCCATGTTCAGAGGCATTGCACCAGTGTGTAAGCTTTCATGGGGAGCAACCATGAGAAGAGGCTGTGTCCTCTGAAGCAGGGCACAAGGGCACCTGAATGGCGACCAAGGTGAGAAGCGAGATGCTGGACTAGAGGCGCCTTTGGGCTGATGCAGAACCCCTTGCTCTTAAGTTCCTGTGGGTTTCGTGGTGAAGCAGTGATTTGAATCCAGGTATCTCCACAGAGCCTAGGACTTGCCGATCAAAAGGTTGGCGGTTCGAATCCCCGTGACGGGGTGAGCTCCCGTTGCTCGGTCCCTGCTCCTGCCAACCTAGCAGTTCGAAAGAACGCCAAAGTGCAAGTAGATAAATAGGTACCACTCCGGCGGGAAGGTAAATGGCGTTTCTGTGCACTGCTCTGGTTTGCCAGAAGCAGCTTAGTCATGCTGACCACATGACTCGGAAGCTGTACACCGGCTCCCTCGGCCAATAAAGCGAGATGAGCGCCACAACCCCAGATTCGGTCACGAATGGACCTAATGGTCAGGGCTCCCTTTACCTTTACTTCATCTCCACCCCAAATCCAGTGCTCTATCCATGAGATTCATGGATTAATTCCAGTACGAAATGGGATAAATGCAGTATATTCAGCAAAAGAAATGAGCCTCGAATTTATTTCTGCCTCAAGAAGTGCAATGGGAGCCAGTCATAGAATGGAAGAATTTCCTTAGGAGCCCAGTTTAAGACAGCTTGGCATGGAAGGCAATTCATGTGGCACACTATATAAAAATGGGGGTGATCCATCGGTGGAAGGATGATGCTGCAGTTACTGAGCTTGGACTGGAAATTGAGAGAAGGACTTAAACAAACAGTGATTATTAATCTTCACACTGTCCTTCCTTCTTAAGGATATCAGGGTGATGCACATTAAGCATAAACAAAACTAAACGTGCCAAAAAATTGAGTATTCATCATACGATACTTAAAAGGCAACTAGAAACAAAATACGGCCAACTAGACTAAGCACCTTTGAAACTCCTGTGCAAATAAGGCTTTACCTCGTGCTGAAATGATTAGAATGCTTGCGCCAGCCGTGCACTTGTAGGGAGGGCATTCTAAAGGGCTCTCTCTTCCTTGTTGTTATACAACAAATCTCACCTGGCAGAGGTGCACAGAAGCTCATCTGAAGATCTTAGGATATGGGCAGCCCTTCAGGTATTGGAGGGTTTTAAAGACAAATTGCCTTGGAAGCGATCCGGCCGCCGTGTAAGTCCTTTAGAGTCAGTGTAATGTGAGTCCATCTGGCCGTGCCAATTAAAATTCTGGCATCCACATCCTGTATGAATTGGAAGCGTCTGCGTTGTCTTGGAGGGCAACCCCATGTAGAACGCATTGCAGTGATCCAGTTGGGAGGATACCAGACAACGGGTCACGGTGGCAAGACGATTGCTGTCCAGGAACAGCCACAGCTGGCAAAACAGCTGAAAGTAATGGGCAGCACTCTGCGCTACTAAGGCCTTCTGTGACAATGCTGGAGCCAGGAGTTGCCCCCAGACGGCATACCAGGGGGAGTGCAATCTCATATAGAACAGATTGTGCAGCTAATTCTTGGACACCGCAGCTACTTATCTGCCGTGCCTGCCTTGTCATAACTGAGCCTCAGTTTCTTGGCCTGCATCCAGCCCATTTCTGAATCCAGGCACCAGTTCAGCACTCGCACAGCCTCACCTAACTCAGAGGACAGGAGAACTGAGCTGAGTGTCACCCGCATCCGAATGACACCTCCCTCCAGGCCTCCTGATCTTGCATAGTGGCCTTGTATGCTAAAGCTGTGGGGTTGAGGAACAGATTCCCTGGGTCTGTCATAGAGCGGGGTAAGCTTGCCATGTGATTTGCGGTGCCTCAGTTGTTAGCCCATTGGGGCCAGGGAGGGATGTTATTCCCCCATATGGTTTTCTTTTCTCTTGTCTGCTTTCCACACATCCCCTTCACCCGCCACCACCCTGGCATTTGAGACTTCCACACTTAGGGACAGAATATGGAAGGAGCGGGATTGTTTTCCATGCCATTAGGTGAAATTGTGATATGCAGAAGAATGTCTGAGATTATTTCGTTTCTTCACAGTTTGGAACATTTTCTGTTAAATGCTGATATTAACTGGTGAAAGGTGGGTGTGAGGCTAAAGCTGGATGGATGCTGGGTCATTTATTAGATTGTTGGAAGCTTTTCTTTTTTTAAAATAATCATTTTTATTAAGTTTTCCATTTTAACAATCCAATCAAATCACATTAAATATTCCAAATTATACATATACATATCAAATAATCCAAATATTCTGCCGAATTATAAATTTTTTATTGGGACTTCCTGTGCTTCAAGTTCAGGAGGGCTCTGATCAAATTGTTGGTAGCTTTTCACGTGTGCTGGTGAATGGCGGAAATGATTGTATTAGAACATTCATTCTGTTATATGCAGGTGTGTGCAAATTCAAGTTCTTTCTTTCCAAGGAGAGCTGTTTGACGTGCTTATGAGTTTGTTTTCTTGCTGGGTCATTTTTTGTTTAGCAATGAATTCTAATGTGAAACAAACCTTTACCCCCCCCCCCCCAGAATAAAATCTACATGTATGGAGGCAAGATAGATGAATCTGGAAACGTGACCAGTGAGCTCTGGGTGTTCCATATTGCAAACCAGTCATGGGTTCACGTGACCCCAAAGACCAAGGAGCAATACGCTGTCGTTGGCCACTCAGCCCACATTGTCACGCGGGATGACGGCTCTGTTGTGATGCTGGTCATCTTTGGGCACTGCCCTCTTTATGGATACATCAGCAACGTGCAGGAATACAACCTGGGTAGGTATTGCTTTGACAGTGACTCTTAACTTATCATTCATAAAGAACTAAAGAGGAACATCTTACATAAGACTAATGGACAAATTTCCTTCTTCCACCTGTCCCCTTTTAATAATTCTAATTATACCCTCAGTTTCAACACTGGGTTGTATCAAATGACATCTGTGCGTGAGCAGAAAAGCATTTTACCTGTGCCATGGGGTGTTCCCTTCCTTTCCATTTCCCCTGTGACTTCTGCTTGTCCCCCAACATCTCCATGGGGAGCTCTCTAGATTTTTGGGGGGTGGGGTGGGGGTAGAATGAGGGGGCTGCAGTGGGAAGAAAGGGGAAGCTCCATTCAATGCTCCATGTTTGCCCTGTTTATTTTTTAACGTATTGCGTTTGCTTGATCATCATTCTCTGTGTGTATGTTGTCATTCCCTCCTGCAGAGGACTAGGTAACACTATTTTGTCTTTATCAAATACCCACAAATTTTCACGGTTTCTACCCCTGTTACGGCCTTACCTTGTGTTCATTTCCTCCATCACTTCCCTCTTCCTTCCCAGATCCTTGATGCTCATGTGCCTTTCCAAGTTCTGTTCCCTTCTCCCCACCCGCCAGCCACCCCCTGGGCAATCTCAGCCTTGTTGATCTGATGTCGATTGTAAATCCTTCTGAGTTGGGTATTTGTCGCTTGTGATGGGGTAGTGGTCCTGCTCTCATTTTTAAATCAAATTCCTGACAATTCATATCCCCTGGCGTTGGGCTAGGTAGCAATTTTAAATTATGTACGCAGCATATATCTTTGTAATGTATAAATTAAAGTTCAGTTTCAGCTTGCCAGTATGTAAGCCAGCTTGAATTGCTTTTCTTATTTGTTTCTGGGAAACATCCATGGCCAGACCCTGAAGGATTCCGCAGCCAGTGAATGTCTGCTGAAAGTAGCTGTGAACCGGAGGGGCTTTCTTATTTGATAATAGGGAGGATTTCTGTAAAGAGGATGATCCCTGCTGTTAGTAGCGATTGAGCTGGAACATATGACACCTGCCGATTAAGCAGGGCACATTCATATCTGCCTTTCATTCTCTCTCAGCCACAAATACATGGAATATTCTGCAAACAACGGGAGCCTTAGTTCAAGGAGGCTATGGCCACAGCAGTGTGTATGATCCAAACACCAAGTCCATCTACGCTCATGGAGGTTACAAGGCGTTCAGTGCCAACAAATACAGACTAACAGACGATTTATACCAGTATGAAGTCAATAAGGGCAGGTGGTAGGTATATTTCAAATCTATTTTCACTTTGAAATTTGCAGCCTTCTGCGGCCACCTAAAGAGTCCCGACACTCTAGTTGATGCTGGATTCTACTGTAAGTCGATCTTAAAAACTTGAAATGTTGGGGAAACGTTTCTGTAGTACAGGGTCAGCCAACAGGTTGCCCTCCAAAGCTACAATTCCCATCATTTCCGTCCACTGGCCATTGCATCTGGTACTTATGGGAATAGTAGTTCCAAAGAACCTGGAGGACACCGTGTTGCCTACCCCTGCAGAAATAATAATAATAAGAGTTTGGATTTGATATCCCGCTTTATCACTACTCTAAGGAGTCTCAAAGCGGCTAACAATCTCCTTTCCCTTCCTCCCCCACAACAAACACTCTGTGAGGTGAGTGGGGCTGAGAGACTTCAGAGACGTGTGACTAGCCCAAGGTCACCCAGCAGCTGCATGTGGAGGAGCGGGGAAGCGAACCTGGTTCCCCAGATTACGAGTCCACCGCTGTTAACCACTATACCACACTGGCTCTCAGCAAAAAAACTGAATCCATTTTGATCGTTTAGCAGTCTCTTTGGATGTTTGAAAGAGCCCTTGCTCTAACCCCCGTGAGACCATGTGGAGAGGGCCATAGCTCAGTGGTACAGCACCTTGCCTTGCATGCAGACGCTCCCAGGTTCAGTCCCTGGCATTTCCAGGTAGGGCTGATAGAGATTCCCTGTCTGTAAGCCTGTAAACCAGGGGTCGGCAAATTTTTTTAGCTGCGGGCTGGTCCACTGTCCCTCAGACCTTGTGGTGGGCCGGAGAAACGACACCGGAGGGAGGAGCTGGAAGAAGAGGCGAAGGGGGCAAGTAGTCCTCCTCCCCAGCCCCAGCCGCTGCGCTTACCTTCCCAGGGGCTGCCACCACCACCACCGCCGCTGCTTCTCGTGGGTAGGCAGAGCGAGCTTGTCCACAGGAGTACCAGGATGGGGGTAGCAATGGTGGAGGGAAGATGAGCGGCGCGAAAGGGCTGGCTCCGGAGAGGGGCTGCTTAAAATGGTGCTCATCTGGCTCAGCCCCGCCCCCTTCCTCCTCTAGGCAGGGCGGGGAGAAGGCAGGAGGAGGGAGGGAGTAGGCGCTGCCGCGGTGTGTGTGGGAAATGGAATGGCGCAGGGGAAAAAATGGTGCAGCCTGAATGAACAGAAGCCCCATGCTGATCCATGGACAGTCCGCAGGTCGGATCCTGAAGGCAATTGGGCCTGATCCAGCCCACAGGCCTTAGTTTGCCGACCCCTGCTGTAAACAGTCAGTGTAAACCGTCCTGAGCTAAATGGACCCACGCTTTGAATCTGTACATGGCAGCTTCCTACGTGTAAGCAGTGATGAATATGTCAACCATATCTTGAATAAATGTCACATACTTGGAGGACCACCGCACACAGTGGCTAGGAAGGGCTTTGGAGATTGATTGAGTTAATTAAGATATTTGGCTGAAGGCAAAGGGAGGACTATGGGAAATGCATATTTTATAGTCTTTGTTTTAACTAGCAGACCACGTTTAAGTGAGTCGATAGGTTCTCTTTAAATTATGCAAGGGTTGTGCAGTTAAATTGGCAACACCAAGGGACATAGGCATATTTTTATTTAGACAGATCCCCGCTCCCTGCTCATTTGTAGGAAAAGGTAAAATTTTCCTACAAATCAGGGTCCAACTAGCCACAGACCTTTGAAAAGCAGATTCCTTAAGGGGATGGGGGCGAGAGAAGGCTGAATTCTGCCCCTGCTTGTCTGCCCACTTTCCCCAAAACATTCTCCCCAGCTGACCTACTCCTGATGGGAACTGCTCTTAGTTTCAGAGCCCTAGCTGGAGGGGAAAAACATTGGGATGCCGTTTCAGTGGGGAAATCATGAGGGGGGAAACTGTTTAGCAGCCCCCACCTTACCCACACAGGGACTTGGTGAGGATCTGATTATGACAAGTGGATCTGCCATCATGATGTCTAATTTGCTCTGACACCAGTCTCTGTGCAAATTATACACTTAGAAGTAGATTTGGCCAGAAAGTCGAACAGTACAGGGCAAGTTTCTCACTCTGTCATTCGGTGCCTTCCCCCCACCCAAGGGTCTCTATAACTTATTAATGCCGAGAATCTTGGACCAACACATTCTCTTTCCTATTCAAGAGAAGAGCTCTGAAGGAAGCAGATAGTTGATGAGCTCGCAGATGCTTTCTCCTTTCTCTCCCTATGGCAAAAAAGAGCATCTTTTATTAGCAAGGGCCTGGGCAAGCAGTGGGTCAGTGGGGGGCTGTATGCTGGCTGCGTGTGATGGCGATTTTACTTATTTTATTGCTTGTATTTTTATTCCTGATTTTGGTTTTTCTACATTGTGTTGCATTTACGCATTTGTTACCGGTATTTGAAAATGTGGTTTGTTCCCCATGTACCTTTTGGGTTTGCTGTTTGAATTTTTGTCGCAAGCAGGGGCTGCCAACCTTTATGGATCGGTGGGGACATTTTGAATTGTGGGAGAGTGCTGGGAAGCGCCAGCAATAAAATAGCTACTATTTTGAAGGGGGGAGGGCATGGCATAACACAGAAAGACTGCCGTGTGGTGTGTGGTAGAACCAAAATTAGAAATGAAAGCTCCGAGTCTTGGGCATCTGCCCAGAGGCACCGGAAAAAACCTTTATGGGTGCTATGGCACTCAGAGGGTTTGCAACCTCTGTGTTTGGCCTTGATGCCTTGGACCCTGGATCTTTTCTGCGCTACCTCTGAAATAATTGTACTCCATTCCCGTGGCTTGTTTTCAGCCATAGCTGCCTCCGCTCTTCTTTTAGAAGACACTTGGAGTGTTTAGGGGGTGGGCAGCCTTTGAAATCCCATCTCTTGTTATATATCCGCAGGACAATCCTCAGAGACAGCAAGTTCTCCCGATACCTGCATTCCGCTGTGATCATTAGTGGGACCATGCTGGTATTTGGAGGAAACACCCACAATGACACTTCCATGAGCCATGGCGCCAAGTGCTTTTCTTCAGATTTCATGGCCTATGATCTAGGTAAGTCTCATTTAGAAGTTCTAGTAAGCAGATAAAAACGCCTGTTATTCGTGAAAGCTGATCTGTCAACATTCAAGATAGCATGCTTTTTTAAAAAAGCAACAATTGAAAACATTAGATGCTTTTGGGTTACCTGATTGCAGTTAACGCTGAAGGGTCATTGCCTGCCCCCCTCTGGCTCACTCACTGTAGGGGGGACAGTGGCGCTCAGCCTCTGAGCTTTGACTCACAAAGCTTGAGTTAGGTATTTATACTAACTTAGGTATTTATACTGCAAACAGGTTCCCCAGTGACGCCTCCAGCAGAGTTCCCTGTGGCACAACTGTGCCAAGGTTCTGCACGTGACTCTGTCCCCGGAATATCTCTGGGCAAAATGGAGGCGGGGCTGCCTGAAAATGGTAGCAGATGGTTCTGGTTTTCATGATCTCAAGTTCCCCCATGCAGATGTCAGCCAGCGCTGCTGTGATCAGCCGTGTGTGCAACGTCAAGTCACCACCGGGCTCTCGCTATGGGGCAATTTCTGTTTGCTCCAAACTTTGCTTTTGCAGCAGCTCGTAGCTGGGGGTGGGGTGGGGGGAGAAATAGAATATGCTGTAAACAACACAGTTAAGATGAACTGAGCCCAGGTTTTTGGAACGTGAGCAGCCCTCAGTCTGTTGCAAGGCGAGTGCGCATTATTTATCTGTCCTGCTGATAACATGTGCATTGCAAATGTTGTTCCATAATCCCAGGAAAAGGATGCATGGCTAGCGACGACACAGTTGTGTGTGATGCTGGATTGTCCAGCACACACGGGGGTCGAAGTGGTCATGTGGAGAAGCATGAAACAAGGCCAAGCTCTTGTTTCAAAGGCCATGCGCATCTGTGGCTGCTTGAATGTGCCTTGCTGGGAGACGCATTCCCATGTGTCAGGGACCCAATTTGATTAAGCAGCCGAACTTGGAAAAGCCAGGAGAGGGCAGCATTTAACAAAACTATAACATGGATGCTGTTTTTCTTTAGGCAAGATGGGGATCAGTTTACACACCGAAGAATAAAATCTAGATCATCTCTTAATACCCTATTTAAGTTTTTATGGAAGCCTCACCATAATTCCTGGATTTCTGGAATGATTCGTTTTTGCCCACATGTCGTAGCACAGCAATATATTTTTCTTTTCTGTGCAAGAGCTTAACGCCCATCTTCTTTCTCCCCCCCCCCCCAGCATCTTACATAGCTCTCTGAAGCTATCAAAAGCCCTTCACGATAATGCAGTTGCTGTGTCTCCCTCTTCTCTTGGCACGCACTGAAATCCTGGCAACCATTTCCCTGTGAACGGGCTTAGGTTTTACGAGAACACCAACCTCTTTCACAGTGCATGTGTGTGCGCGCACACACAAACTGATACATTCTTGTGGATCTGAGGTGGAATTCAAAAGTTGGCTTAGTTCAAAGTCAGCAGGGCAATAATTCTTGGTAATCTCAAAACCATTAGCTTTTTCTCTACTTGGTTCCCAGTGAAAGAGGGAGAAGGCAGCAGAGTCGAAGCACTTCAAGTGCTCCTCCTAATCTACAAAAATATGTTCCTTGGCTTCGCAGCTCTCAGCCTCCTGGATCAAAAATACCATTGAGCTTTCTGGCTCGCTTTCCCTTAGATCTGCCTTGAAAAACTGGAACGGCACATGTGCCCATTAAACAGTTCAGCGAAAAAATCAAATGCTCTCGCACCGAACTTTTTTTTGGAAAGAGAGAGAGAATAAATCAGTGAAACCTCTGCTGGCAATTAAAGCATCCCGCAGGGCGAGGGGCCATTAGTCCAAACTGTATTAGGGTTCCATCCCTGAATGCCAAAGCCTCATCCTGAACTATTCAAAGTTGCCAGAGCTCTAATGATTTCAGCTAATGTAGCATGCGTTGTCCCATTTGCTGGTGCCTTCTTTTCACGCACTGCAATACATTCTGGTGCAGTACTGACTACAGGGAAGTTTTAAGTCTGGATAACCAGTAATGTGGGGGTGTAAAGGGGAAGAAATAGGCTCGGTTGCTGCCCCGATAGGAGGGGTAGGCGTAGGCTGAGGAGGATGGAGGCTTGGAAGTAGCAGGGCAGGACAGCCAGGAAGTGGGCAACAGATCAGCTGTTGGGGCGAGGCACCTGGTTGTGGTTCATTTGTATTATGAGAAGCAACTGGCTGGGTTGGAAAATGTGGGTTGCATCCAATGCTCCTCCTCGTGTGTAGCTCCAGTGGTGCAACAGGAATTCCATTTCCTCTCTTCCTGCTGTGTGCCTCCTGAACCTGCTAGATGGGACAGGAGAGGAAGGGGAAGAGGAAGAGGAAGATGGAGCTTTGTTGCACCCACAGAAGCCAGTTGTGCCGTTGGAGTTGAAGCATTAACAAAGGCCATATGTTGTTTTAGCCAAGGCATCAATGCCTGCCTCTTGAGATCCAGCTTTCCTCCCTCTTTCCTCCCATTGCCCAGCCATTTGCCTTTAGTGCGCATGGAAATATAGATTGTGAACCATCTGGTGGTTAGAACTTTTAAAAATTCTCCTTATTGCAAACTTGTGTGCTTCCACCTCTCCTGGGAATAGTGTGTGTGTGTGTGTGTAAAGAGGAGCAATCGCCAGAACCACTTAAAAGCCTTCTTGAGTTGTTGGTGGGTGGGTGAGTATCTCTCCTGGTCACACCCTGACTCATTAGACTCATTACCTGAGAGCTGACCTGGGTAGATACATTTTAAGATTAGACCACATACCCTGGTCCTCTCAGAGCAGCTGCCTCAGACCTCAGTGTGTTTTTTGTGTGTGTTTTTTAAGATTCAGTATTTTGAACAGTTTGAACCTCCCCCTCCTTCCATTATTCCTCCCCCTGCATTATTCCTCATTATTACAGACAATTTCTTGATTTCTGCAAAGGATTTAAACGGCTGGACGTTTGTGGCTGGTGCAATGTTGCTTTTGACCCCAAAGATTTTGAACCACTGGAAGGGAAAGACATGATATTCTAGACAGGAAGCCCTTTGAGGCATTAGCCTAAAGATAGCATGTTTGGGCTGATGCCCTTTTCTTTCTTTTTTTTGGTTCAAGTACTTTACTTTTTGTAGTTTCGTCCAAGGTGAGTGTGTATTTGTGTGGGAATAATCTAAGCAGATGTGAAAGGGGGTATTAGGACAGCTTGGAGAGAGGAAGGAAGAGGTGGTTTGATTTGCTCTTCTCTCCTCCTTGCCTTAAAGCCATGGCAAGCAGAAAGTATTCTAAATGGATTTGAGCCCACTCACCCAATAACCAGTGAAAGAACAGGGACCCCTCTTAGCTACTTGTGACATTCATTTGTGGTGGGGGAGTAATTTATCTAGTTGCAAAAGATAATCAGACCCCCCTGGGGATTTAATAATAGCGTCCAGCCCTAAAACACCTTTTGCACAGGTTAGACTTTCTTCTTCCGGGCGTACAGAGCAGGTACTTGGTTGCAGACAACTGGTTCTGCCATACTGGTTAATGAGGTGAGTGGTGAAAATAATGGCAGCTACGTATACCCTCATCTTGTTTGGGGTCTCCTTAAGAAATTGCACCGGGGATTGGGCTGGATGTGTCTCCTGAAACGCTTTAGCACTTATCTGCTCTTTGGAATAGCTAATGAACGTCCCGTGTTGTCATTTGAATTGCTTTTGGAATAATGCAAAAAAAGCCGTTCCACCTAAAATGCCAGCTAATGTACCAGAAGGAACTGCTCTGAAATGAGGCTTGCTTAATTCCAGCTTGCGATTGTTGGTCCGTGCTGCCTCAACCTGACCTCCCTCACGACGTCAACAGATTTGGACACTCTGCTGTGCTGAGCAACAAGTAAGAGGGCAAAATGGCTTGGGTCCTTGTGGGTGTGGGGAGAAGGGGAGCCAGGGTCTCGTCCTGCACTCCTGTTCCCGACCACGCCAGGTCATGGCTGAAGGCGCTCCTGCTTGCACGACCAGGACCTCTGAACTCGCATCAGCTGCTTGTGATAGCTGCACAGTGCTGCCACTCTTTCCCAAACCGTTAGCCCTATTCAGTTGTTCCTCCTATGAAGGGGCATCGCAAGCACAGAGGGGCTGTGGGGCTCTGACTTTTGCCCTTCCCCTGTTGTTCAGGATAATCGTCTGCTGTGGGGAGCCTGGAGGAGCGCAGCAGGCTCCTTGATTCAAGTGTTTGTCCTCAACAGGTGGGAGGGCAGAGGGAGCCATGTGGCAGCAAGGATGGAGCCTTTGTACTTGCATGCTCCCTCCTTTACCTTTTTATTTTTTTATAAATTTTATTAGTATTTTCCACGCAACAACACAAACATATCGAAAAATAACAATACACAAAACACAAAAACCAACATTCAAAAAAACAAAAACAAAACAAATCCATATCTTACAAGTTAATAATATAAACACTAAAAAGAAAAACAAACATTGACTTCCACCAATCCCACAGCACCTCCTTTATCTCTCATTGTGTCTCCCTGTTTTCCTGATCACCTCTGTCCTAGCATCTAGGTATAAATCCCTCTTTCTTATCCTTTCACTTCACAAGGTTATTCCAGACTCAGCCAGATTTCTGTCCTCGAACCTTGGCTTTTAAGGTATTCATTTAGACACTCCCATTCCTTTTTCACTTCACTTTTTGGTTTTTGTCTTATTATATCTGTCAATTTGGCTAATTCTGAAAGCTTGCATAACACAACTAGTGGGTAACTGATTCCCTTTCCAATACTTAGCCACCAGGATTCTTGCTGCAGACGTCGCGTATAAGAAAAAATTAGTTTTGTCTTTTAGACAAATGACCATCCCCCCCCCTTTCCCATCCCACAAAACAAATTTGGATACCTGGGGCGATCCTGCCTTGCCCTGTTGCCCATGTCAATTCAGGTGCCCATACCTGTTATCACAAAGAGGGGACCGCCATTTGTCTGAAGTCTAATTAAAGCAAGTGACTTTTCCTATTGCAACAGCATCCATGGTGCTTGTGGATTGTCAAATTTAGTGATAGGGCCAATATTTTAGCTGCTGGCTCTTGCTCCCAGATTCCCAGCAGATTAACACACTGTATGCAAATGACAACATGGATGCTTTCCCAACCTTACACTCAGTTGTGTTAATGTGTATAGAGTACACATTACCTTTTGTGGTGGGCTTGAAACTTCCCCCACCCCTTTTGTTCTTTATTGCCGGTTTTATGCTAGCTGCCGTACTATTACCTTCCTGTGGTAATGAGCTCCATGGGTTAATTGTGGAGAAGTACTTTTACTAGTTTTGAAACATGACTGTTTAGCTCATTGAGTTTTGCCTCCATCCTTGCTTTGAACAACAGTTTCCAACTCAGCTTTTCCACCCCATTCGCTGGCTAATGTACCTCCTATCATAACAACATGGTTTTATCGCCTTTCTGAGAGCCTCCGCCTTAAATCTTCTCCTGGGCGAAAACCCGTTTCCCTGCTCCTCTGTGTTACTGCTGCCCCTTTTGTGAACTCTCTTTTGTATCTACTGCACCGCACTTGACTTCAGCCATCCGTCACTTAATCTGTACCGCCACAGTTTTCTCTTTTGTCTTAAAACACCCAGAGAAACAATTTTCACACTTCTTAGGTTCACTTTAAAACTCTGTTTTTGTGAAACTCTGGCCTCCTTTGTGTGCAGGTGATTCTCAGCAGAGTTATTAAGAGCTCTGTGCACTTTGCACGTCACAATATTTCTGCGTTGGCGAGTGGGGGAAACAGACCTGCAGTCAGAGTATATTATGCAAGTTTTGCAACCACATAGCCCAGAGATTCAGGGCAGGAACAGGGGGACCTGTGGCCCTCCAGATGACGTTGGTCTTCCAACTTCTATCAGCCCCAGCCAGCAGGGCCATTTGCAAGAATGATGGAAATTGTAGTCCATCAGCACCTGAAAGGCCACACATTGCTCAGTGTGGCTTTAGAGTTTTTGACCCAGGCTGGAGGACTGGAAGCACATGGCCTGCATAGATCAGGGTCAGGAAACAATTGTGGAGATGGGGAAGAGATGAACCAAGAGATACTTGAGATAATTTAGAGCAAGGATCAGGAAGCTTTTTCAGCAGGGGGCCAGTCCACTGTCCCTCAGACCTTGTGGGGGGCCGGACTATATTTTGAAAGAATGAAAGAAAGAAAAAGAAAAAAAGAACGAATTCCTATGCCCCACAAATAGCCCAGAGATGCATTTTAAATAAAAGGACACATTCTACTCATGTAAAAACACGCTGAATCCCTGACCGTCTGCGGGCCAGATTTAGAAGGCGATTGGGCCACATCCGGCCCCCGGGCCTTAGTTTGCCTACCCATGATTCAGAGTACTGAAGCCATGAGCATCATGACTTCGCCCTTCTGCTTCCAAGATGTCCACTAGCCCCAGCTGCAACTTTCCCAAACTTCTCAGTAGCCAAGAAGACTGGATGTAGGTTTTTAAAAACACCTAAGATTCTTGCCTGCCCATTGAAGAACTGCGTACCAGACCATGTACTTATGCCAGGGAACCTTTGGACTTCCAGATGTTGCTCTCATCAACCCCAGTGAGCATTGCCAGTGCAACATCTGGAGGGCTTGAGGTTCCCTACACCTGACTTGCACAATCAGTTGCACGAACACACAGCGTGTAGAACTAAGTAGTTCCTATTAGTCCTTCTGCCTCTCTCTTTACTCTTTTCGTGTTGCAATGCAATGCAACAACAACAACTTTATTATTTATGGCTCATCCATCTGGCTGGGTTTCCCCAGCTACTCTGGGTGGCTTCTAGCACTTATATTAGATTCTTGTGCCACAAAGAGCTGCTTGGCTACCCTCTGATAGTGGTGAACTCTGTAGAAATGTTACTTTTATGGAAGCCGACTTGCAACCCACCAAGCTAAGTGCAGCCCAACTGCACCTGTGGGCTTGCTACCTGCTTGACAAGGCCAGCGGGCTGCAAGTGGTCCAGTGCCTGCAGTAACAGTGAACGGCCCTACAAAGGGTCCCTGAACAACCAGGCAACTTCTCATGGAATGGGAGTGCTTTAATTGGAAACGAGCCTAGTGTTTGAGACGAATCTTCAAACACGGCTTCTGTGCGTGGATCAGCCGGTTAGAAGTGTCTCACGCGGTCTCCCTTTTGAAGTAAAGAACAAGCCATTGATCTCTCCCTTCCCCTTTCCTTCCTTTGTTAGCAATATGTATATATTTGGAGGTTTTAACAGCCTGCTGTTGAGCGACATTGTGAAATACACACCGGAAAGCTGCGAAGCCTACAGCAATGCAACCTCTTGCTCGGGGGCAGGCCCCGGGCTCCGATGCGTGTGGAACAGCTCCACCCTCCAGTGCCTCCCGTGGGAACTGGCCACAGAGCAGCAAGAGCAAAAAGCTGCTGAGGAATGCCCTTGCTGGACAGGTAGGTGTTGCAGACAGATCCACTGGGTTTTATTACTCTGGCATGCTGGACACTGCCTTCGGTTTGGGATGTTTCCACTGGCTGTTTGGTAGCGTTGGGGAATGGTTTGGGGGTTGAAAAATGTAGGGGGTGCCCTTCAAATATCACTGAACAGCTACCCCTGTCAGGCCCAGCCAGCAGTGACAGTGGTCAGAGATGCAGTTACAGCGGTACCCCAGGTTAAGAACTTAATTTGTTCCGGAGGTCCGTTTTTAACCTGAAACTGTTCCTAACCTGAAGCACCACTTTAGCTAATGGGGCCTGCCGCTGCGCCGCTGCTGCGCGATTTCTGTTCTCATCCTGAAGCAAAGTTCTTAACCCAAGGTACTATTTCTGGGTTAGTGGAGTCTGTAACGTGAAGTGTCTATAACCCGAGGTACCACTGTACTGCCTGCCTTCTGCAACTAAGCTGCATAGGTGCAATTTAAGTAAATGCATATTTTCCCTTGGCTCACCCCTCTTGCTCCCCTTCATTGAATTTTAGAGCTGCTCCTCTATATTTTGGAAAAAAAAAATTAATGTGCATGGTGAATTACAATGTGGAGTATCCTTTTATGTATATAAAGGAGCATTCATTCATATGAAATTCCTGAGCTACAGTCTGACATGGAATAGCCCAGTGACAAGGGTGGGTTATTGTTTTGTTTTTGTAGTTGTTATGCATTTTGTGTTTTTACCTAGTATTTTTATGCTGTGAACTGCCCTGAGATTTATGGAGGAAGGGCGGCATGCAAATTTAATTAAATAACAACACCTGTTGCTTGTGTCTGAATTGCGGTGGGCAAGTAGACCTTTTGAGACGGCTAGGAAATGCCCCTGTTTGGTCATGCAGGTCTTTCCTTTTCCTTACTAGCTGTGGACCATGACAAATGCGATCAGATAACAGACTGCTACAGCTGCACGTCCAACACAAACCGGTGCCATTGGTGCACCGACCAGTGTGTGTCAAGGAACAGCAACTGCTCAGAAGACCAGGTAACGCTTTCTGCTTCTCCCCCCCCCCCCCGCTTATGTCTGCTGCCAAGAAAGCGCTTGTCAGCAACTGCAGCTGACTTTGCCAAGCAGTTGCAATTCGTAGCTCTGGGTGGGCTGCTTCAATTGTGCTCAGTGGCTCACTAATGAACATCGTAGAAGAGAGAGTGGGGAGAAGCAAAAGGGTTGTGTATACTCTGCCAAAACGCTTCTATTTTTTATACCTAATCACACAAGTCACACACACTGAGAAGCGTTGCAGGGTGCAAACAAAAATCTCCCCCCACTCCGTCAATGAAAACCTACCTTTGTCTTGTCCTGTTTTGATTTGACGCTTCCAAGGCAGGCTGTGTTAGATCAGTAGCTCTGCTTGTCTTTCTTTCTTATCTATAGCATATTAGGTTTTTCACGTTATTACAATAAAATAGTATAGTACCTTATTCGTCCTCACCCTCCCTATGCCCTTGTATCCTTTTTAGTTAGGGCAGCCTTTCTCAACCTGTGGGTCTCCAGATGTTGTTGGACTACAACTCCCATCACCACTAGCTAGCAAGGCCAGAGCTCAGGGATGATGGGAGTTGTAGTCCAACAACATCTGGGGACCCACAGGTTGAGAACCGCTGTGTTAGGGGATTTTTGTTTTTGATGTTCAGTTCTTTGGCGTTCTATACAGTGCTCAGGTTCACATGCATAGGTCAGGGTTGGGATAAATGAATGTCAGTGCTGTGCTGTGGGCCCAGATCAATGCACCCCTTGCAGCAGGAAGGCTAACCACAGATTGTCAGGACCATGGACAGATCAGTGTGACAAGTGCTAGCTGGAGCTTGCAGGAAAAGGGCTGTTGTCTCAGTGGCATGCCGAGGCCTTATGAAGGCTGGTGGGTCCAGACCTTCTGTCAGCCCGTCTTCCTCTGAGGACCTGTTTGTGTTTTTTAAGGGGCCATTTTCCAGTTGAGATGCCTCTGGTTCCTATGGCATAGGGACAGTGAGGACTACATACAATGGGGTGTGGTGCAGACGAGACCTCTGAGTCATAGAATCATAGAACTGTAGCACTGGGATACCGAGAGCCATCTAGTCCAACCCCCTGCAATGCAGGAATCTCGGCTAAAGCATCCATGACAGATGGCCATCTAATCTCTGCTTAAAAACGTCCAATGAAGGAGAGTCCACCACCTCCCGAGGGAGTCCGCCCCATCATCAAACAGCTCTTACTGTCAGAAACTTCTTCCTGATCCTTAATCGGAATCTCCTTTTTTGTAACCTGAAGCCATGGGTTCGAGTCCTACCCTCCAGAGCAGGGAAAAAAAAGCTTATTCCATCTTCCATGCGGCATCCCTTTAGATATTTGAAGATGGCTATCATATCTCCTCTCAGTCTCCTCTCATCCAGGCTTAACATACCCAGCTCCTTCAACCGTTCCTCATAAGGCTTGGTTTCGAGACCTTTGATCATCTTTGTTGCCACCCTTTGCACATGTTCCAGTTTGCCAAAATTGTGGCCACAGTACTCCGGGGTGGTCTGACCAAGGCAGAATAGAGTGGGACTATGACTTCCCTTGATCTGGACACTATACTTCTGTTGATGCCACCTAGAATAGCATTAGGGTTTTTTGGTTTTTTTGCTGCTGCGTCACACTGTTAGCTCATGTTGTTGGGTAACATCATATCTTTTGGCCTGGAAGGTCCTGGAGTGGGTGGAAGTGGCTCCTTTGGACAGCTGTGCTGGCTGGACCCAGTGTCAAAAACAGCTGGAGGCAGTAGGTTATCAAAAGCTGAGCTAAGCAATGAGGAATAAGGTCACATGGCTGCTACTTTGCCAGGTTGTTTGATTTAGCTGCATTTGGAAAGCTTTCTTCATACACCCTGACCCTCAGGACCCCCTTTTCCCTCTTTCCTTTTTTTGGTCCCAACAGCTGAAGAACTTGCTTTTTAGTCACTGAAAAAAGTATATGGGCCCCAAAGTGTTTTGGGAAAGCAGTTAAGGTAAAGGTAAAGGTACCCCTGCCCGTACGGGCCAGTCTTGACAGACTCTGGGGTTGTGCGCCCATCTCACTTAAGAGGCCAGGAGCCAGCGCTGTCTGGAGACACTTCCGGGTCACGTGGCCAGCGTGACAAAGCTGCATCTGGCGAGCCAGCGCAGCACACGGAAACGCCGTTTACCTTCCCGCCAGTAAGCGGTCCCTATTTATCTACTTGCACCCGGGGATGCTGTCAAACTGCTAGGTTGGCAGGCGCTGGGACCGAGCAATGGGAGCACACCCCGCTGCGGGGATTCGAACCGCCGACCTTTCGATCGGCAAGCCCTAGGCGCTGAGGCTTTTACCCACAGCGCCACCCGCGTCCCTTGGGAATGCAGTTAGCCACCTTTAAAAAGCCCTGTTGCTTCCTGAACATTTTCAAAACCTTTGGCTGTCACCACCTGGGAGGCACACTTTGAATGCATTGCCCAAAACTCTTATTCAGTGGAACGATCTGTGACAAAACTGATGAAACTGATCTGGAACTTCTAATGAAACCCAAGCCTGGAATGGTTTCAAAGCTGGGTGGATGAATGGGATTTCTGAAGTTTAGATAACTCTGCTGGCTTTGGTGCCCCACGAGGAGTGTGTTCATGGCTAGATCTACCCTGTTGTCTCTTTAGCAGAATTGTTGATTCATCTTGTGTATCTTGTGAAGGAAAAAGTGTACCTCTTTGCTGTCTCTGTTAGACTCCCATTGCTGCGTTTGAAAATTGCCCCAAGGATAACCCTGCATTTTACTGTAACAAGAAGACGAGCTGTAAGAGCTGCAGCCTGGATCAGAACTGTCAGTGGGAAGGTCGGAATCAAGAATGCATTGCTTTGCCTGGTATGTTTTCTCCTTGAGTGTAGCATTTGCATGTGCTTCTACCCTTTCCTTTCACTCCCAAATGGAGAAGAATATCTGCCTGCCTATCTTTTTGCATTGCTTTATTGCACTGACATTATTTTTAACTAATGCCATTAATTTGATTCTGAATTGATTTTAGAATGTATTTCAATTAATTGATTGTGATTTTATGTAAATTGTGTTACATTTACTGTTGTTAGCCACTCTGAGCCCGGCTTCGGCTGGGGAGGGCAGGACATAAATAAATTTTTTAATTATTATTATTATTATTATTATTATTATTATTGAGTTAAATAAATGATAGTATATTGATGAGTTAAATATATATTTTTTGTGAATTGGAGATCCAATTCAGGATCTTGTAGGCACCTGAGTCCCTGTGGATGATCGCCGCAAGCGAGGCAAGAGTTAAATCTGCGCGTAACTTCTGCTCCTCTTTTTTTTTACAGAGAACATCTGTGGGGCCACCTGGCACTTGGTGGGCAACTCTTGCCTGAGACTCACGCAAACGAAAGATAGCTACGACAATGCAAAGTTGAACTGCCGGAGCCACAATGCCGCTCTGGCGTCGCTCACTACCCAGAAGAAGGTGGATTTCCTTCTTAAAGAACTCCAGAAAACACAGTCATCGGTGAGTGATCCTTAATGCCCTTTGAAGTTGCGTCTGGGTGATCAGGGAGGCCCTTGCGTATTCATGCTCAGGTTGAGTTGCTCCATTTCAAAGGGAGCTGTTGAAATTCATATTCCTCTGTGAGGTTGTAACCAAGGCTAATGTTGGCATCTCAGTACAATGTTATGTTTTTGATGTTAATCCCCCAAAGCAACTGCTTTTGGTTTTTGACTACTTTAGCAGTTGAAAGTTGGGACTTACCTGGCTTGGTTCCATATGCAGAGAACTCACATCTAGCTATCTTGTAAGACCCAACTACCCATATTCTTATTAGTGTGGGGCAGTTGTGACAACTGTGCTCTCTATCCCCCTTGGGGCACTCACGATGCCACCCCCTCCCTTCCACCTAGGCTTGCCATTATGTCTCTGACAAGCTGTTGTCTGGTTTTAGGGCTCCATTTCAGCAGCTGGGCTTGACTGTCTTGCTTATAGCTATGAGACTTGCCGCAATTAGCATGCGTGTCTGTTGAAGGGGCAGAGAGCTAGAGAAAGAAGTTGACGATAGCATGATGGGATTGTGGAGAGACACAAATGACCTTCTCGCTTGCAAACTCAGCAGCTTGCTGCCTCTCACTTGCACCCTGTTCGAATCTCGGCAGCTCAGAGACCATTGTGAGTTAAGCAAGACCTATCCCTTAATAGAAAGCATATTTTTGCTCATTGAAAATGCCAGTGTGTCACACTGTGGCTGTGCGCTCCTCCTTAACTCTCATACCGCCCTCCTTCCTCTTAGCCAAAAGCCCTGACGCCCTGGGTTGGGCTGCGGAAGATCAACATATCGTACTGGTGCTGGGAGGACATGTCTCCCTTCACGAACACCTCACTCCAGTGGCTGCCTGGGGAGCCGAGCGACATTGGGTTCTGCAGCTACTTGGCGGTGCCAAACAACCAAGGGCTGAAAGCAGCAACATGCATCAACCAAGTCAATGGCAGCGTCTGCGAAAGGCCTGGTAAAATATCTCTTGGTGCTCTTGCCCTAGGAGACTGGTGACAAACATGTGTAGAGGCCATTGCTATTGGTGGCATGCAAATACAGAATGATGCATTGGTGTAGACTCTTCCTTCCACAATATTAGAGTTGATTTGTATCATAGAATCATAGAATTATAGAGTTGGAATAGACCACAAGGGCCATCGAGTCTAACCCCCTGCCAAGCAGGAAAGACCATCAGAGCACTCCTGACATATGGTTGTCAAGCCTCTGCTTAAAGACCTCCAAAGAAGGAGACACACTGGACTATCAGTTCAAGGGAAAGGAACTTATCGTATTTTTCGCTCTATAAGCCGCACCCGACCACAAGATGCACCTAGTTTTTAGAGGAGGAAAACAAGAAAAAAAATATTCTGAATCAAATGTTGTTGAAGAGTAAAGAGGAGGGAGGATCAGGCTAAGGAGCCACCGGTCCGTCCGCCCCTTTGGGGAAGCTGGATATGCTGGTCACCTAACAGCGTTGTCCCTGTTGGGGGGATCAGAGGAAGCAGGCGAGACGAAGCGACACTCTTCAAGGAACCCCTTCCTTTCCTCCTCCCACTTTGCTGAAGATGCGCTGCGCTGCTCTGCTGAAGCCAGCAGAGCAAGAGGGAGAGCTGTGCGGTGCCTCTTGGTCTGCTGGCTTCCCAGCAAAGCAGGATGAGGGACGGAAGAGGCTCTGTAAGGGCTCCCTCATCGTGCATCACTGTGAAGGCATCACAACAAGAGGCGCTGCGCAGCTCCCCCTCTTGCTCTGCTGGCTTCAGCAATAGCTGCGCAGCCTGCATTTGCTCCATAAGACACACAGACATTTCCCCTTGCTTTTTAGGAGGAAAAAAGTGTGTCTTATAGAGTGAAAAATACGGTAGGTCAGTGGTAGAGCATCTGCTTCATCTGCAGAAGGTCCCGTCTGCAGGTTCATCTGCAGGTTCAGTCCCCGGCATCTCCAGCTACAGCTGGGAATGTCCCCTGTTTGAAACTCTGGGGAGCTGCTGCCTGTCAGTGTTTGAAAACACTGAGCTAGATGGATCAGTTGTCTGACTCAGGAACGTAGGAAGCAACGCAGGAATCTCAGCTAAAGCATCCATGACTGGTGGCCATCCAATCTACTTAGAAACTTCCATTGAAGGACAGTCCACCACTTCCCGAAGGAGTCTGTTCCACTGTCAGAGTGGTGATAACTTACTTTTGTGGAGTCCTTTGACACCATCCCACTGCTGATCAAAATGTGAGCTCCAGTTTTTAAAGTCTAGGGAGCTGTGGTTTATCTTGAAGAACCTTGGCGTTCATGCAGAGTGTGACCTCAAGGGCTAAAGCCTCGAGGGGAAATTAAATGGATAATCAGGCACGGAGCTGAACTCGAGAGCCGTTTTGAATTGTCCGGGGTGCGGAAAGAGGTCTGTCAGCAAGAGGGCTACAGTAGCTTCCTTAATAGATAAGAGCTTTATTAGTAAAGATTGGGAAGGACCACAGTGATGCTGACAAGAAGCAGTGTCAGGATTCGGCAGCCTTTCGGGGGTTCGGGAGGAGAAAGTTGGATTCTTTTCACCAGCAATGTAGTGTTACCTTTGGCTTCAAGGTGGAAGAAAAGAAAAAGGCTTGGAAATGTCTCATATGGTAAAAGCTGCTTGCACTAATCCCTTTTGTTGTTGTTGTTGTTGAATGCGCAGCCAACCACAGTGCCAAGCAGTGCCGTACCCCCTGTGGCCTGAGAACGGTGTGCAGCGAATGCACCAGCAGCAACTCCGAGTGTATGTGGTGCAGCAACAAGAAACAGTGCGTGGACTCCAGTGCTTATGTGGCCTCTTTCCCTTATGGCCAGTGCATGGAGTGGCATACCGTGAGCAGCTGTCCACGTAAGCAATCCTTTGGCTGATGGGGATCTCAACAGTTGTGTAGGGGCAGTTCCATAAAGGGGGCGGTATCGTCCAATGGTCCGTGCACCTAGTATATTTATGCACAGGCAGCGACTATTTTGGGGGGATCCAATTGACGCGCAGTCGCCGACACAGGGTCCTTTTGGACCTGGAAGATGGCAGAAGGGGGGTATAACGGGGTGGGGTGCGTTTATATGTGCTCTGCTGCACACGCAGGGCCTGGGAACGGAACCCCCGCATGAAATGGTTGCTGCCTGTATTTTGTGAACTGTCCTGAGCTCTATGGAGGAAGGGGATATACAGATTTTATTATACTCTTCTGTTGGACTGGAGAATGAATTTTACTTGTGTGTGTGCTCATTGTAGGACTGAGGACAACAGGATCCCAAAGCTGCTCCCCAGATTAGCAGGGTGGCTGTGGGCAAGTTGCAGTGGTCTAAATCTGGAGGAATATGTTAGAATCCCCATACTGAGTAGGACTTTTGAGGCTCTCATTTGTCTGCATCCTGCCCGGCTACTGCGTCCAGCCGGTAGGGTTCCAGGTGAAGCCTCCAACACCAGTTTTCCTGCACAATATTTACCGGGCTACCCAGATGCAACCCAGGCCCTGTTTTAAAATTCCATTCATCTTTATTTATGATTGCATTATTGATATTTGGAAAGTCCTAACCTACAAGGGGGGAAAAAATTCAGCCCACTTCACATTACGCTTCCCAGTTGCTGCTTGGAAGGCAGGTTGCAGGCTGTAGTTTGCTCATTCAGCTTTAATGGCAAACTCTGACTTCTTGGAGCCAGCCAGGATTGAAACAGAATGCGAAAAAGGCAGTGTGCAAGCGGGAGGATGTTCAGACCCTGGTGTGCTGTTGTTGCATGTGAACCAGCCCAGGATGTGAAGCCTTAAAGCACTGGTGGCTTCTTTCCTTAACCTGGAAGTTCTCTTTCTCTCCGCAGCTGAAAACTGTTCTGGCTACTTCACTTGTGGGCACTGTTTGGAGCAGCCTGGCTGTGGCTGGTGTACGGATCCCAGTAATACAGGCAAGGGGAAGTGCATTGAAGGCTCTTCCAGAGGTCCAGTGAAGATGCCGCCTTCACCTCCACCAGCAACAGGAAAATCCTACCTAGAGCCTGTCCTTGATGTCAGCATGTGCCTGGCTGAGAACAAATACAACTGGTCCTTTATTCACTGTCCAGGTAACTTATTGAGGAGTGCACATTTGATGTGCAGATCAGTTATCTCTTAAAACCCTCAAGTGATCCTCTTATATGCCCAGTAGGCAGGGGCAAGAGGGTGGATTTGTTTAATCTTTCCGTGACTGTGTGCAGCTTCTTGAAAATGGAACCAGGTAATGGTGCCTATTCCTGAGCAGTGCTGAGTTGTTAGCCGTGTTAAGGGAGAACTTCAGAGAATGCAATCTTACGTTTATAATGTAGGGGAACGTGAGAAGTCTGCCACTCCGTTTGCTTGTTTATAGTGTTTGTAGTCCTCTCTTTAGTTAAAAGACTCCATTATAAATGAGCCAGTCCTTGCCCACAAGACATGTTGCAGTAGGAAAGGCAGAGGGGAAAGCAAATTCAGACAACAGTTCCTAAAGGTATGAAGCTCTTAAAAGGACCACGTCGAAGTTCAACTGTTGGTGGGAGAAGAAGAGCCCAATGGATCTAGTTGCTCACCAGAGCTGGCACAGCAGCCCTGCAGTCCCATATCTTTCCCTGCTGCAGCCTTATGGGAAATAGTTAAAATAAAATAGAAATAGATATAAGGGTTAATGTCACCTGAAATGGGGGCAGGGAAAAGAACAGTTTATTGGAATGCAAAGCTTTTCTTCCTTGGCTGGTTTTTATTTTTATTTTCCCTTTTTTTGGGGGGGGGGAGGAGAGGAGTTGGTGTTGTGAAAGGGCAGAGAAATGTCCCAGTTCTTCCAGTGATTCATGATTGGCTAGGCTTACTGTGACCAGAAAGAAGCTAGTGCCCTTATCGATAGTTTTCATATACAGATGTCAGCACATAGCTAAATCTGATTTGCTAGATTGTGCTGTGATTTCATCACATCCAGAACAGGAGCCCAAACTGGCTGGGGAAGAATAGAGGTGGTGGGATGTCTCCCAAAGCAGAGGCCATCAAAGGGAACAGTGGCTGCAGATAGCAAGCAGTTCTGCACCAGCAAGATATGAAAGGGGGCACAGCTGTTTCAAACTCAAAATCTGGGGGGCACAACTGTTTCAAACTCAAAATCTGTTTCGCTTCCATATTATGATGATATGATCCTTTGAATTTCATGCTGTGTAGTTAGACAAAATGACACGTATAAATGCCTTTGTCTATGGGCAGATGAGTCAACATAAAAAGAGCAAATTTCTGTGTGTGCTCCCTCCATTAATTCTAACGTCCATTAGAATTATTTGAGTACAGATACAGGCGATGCACAATCACCTGCGACGCCAGAGAGTTTCTCCAGCACAGTTAAGTGCTGAGTGTTGTGGCTGCTGAATGTGTGCACTCCGGTCCACTCTGGGAAGGGGAGCCCTGCTGAGATGCTCTGGTGCTTATCCTGGATCGCTGGAAAGCAAGACCACCTGGTCTGGTGTGAACTTGCTGTTACTTAGCCCAAAACACCAAGCAATCAAAATTGTGGTGACAAATAACGAGATGGATGGGAGAGAGCAAAAGATGTGCTGAGCGTCCCTTTTTGTTTTCTAGCCTGCCAGTGTAATGGGCACAGTAGATGTGTCAACGAGAGCATCTGCGAGAGGTGTGAGAACCTGACGACTGGCAAGCACTGTGAAACCTGCATCTCTGGTTACTATGGAGACCCCACAAATGGAGGCACCTGTCAGCGTAAGTTGGGTCCTCCATCCATCTTCCCCACTGCTGAACAATTGCATTTCCTCCCCTGGTCCCCATTTATTTTTGCCTGACCTTTTTTTTTTAACAGCTAGTATGCAGGCCATAATGATCGAGGCTGTGTGTGGACTGTGCAAAATTCTGTGCCAAGAAAACCTATTTTCTGCAATTTGTAAATTGCGCAAAATGAGCAAATTTACACTATTTCACTGAACGCTATGGTTTTGCTTCTTTGCATAATTTATTCGTGTTTTGCCAGGGCACTGAAGCCATCCAAACACTGAGAATTTTATTCATCTAGCCTTTTTGGAGAGAATTCAGCAGGTTTCACTTACATACTTTCAAGGCTATCTTCCCAGCCTCAAGGGGTGGGAACCATTTAAAAAGCGAAGTTAAGATTCCCAGAAAGCTGAATTCTACACTTGATACATATTCTGTGTCTGTTCTCTGCTCTTACAGAATAATTGATAATTACCAGTGGTAGAACTGTGTAACATCAGTGATATTTTATTACATCTGTCATATAACTGAACTTAAAGAAGCATTTCACAGGGGTATAGATCATAATATTCATTGTGGCAGGTCTACTTCAAATATGAACCAAAAGTCTGAGCAACACGTTTCCCAATCATTGACTCATTTAACAAAGACATTGAGTCTGTAGAGATGATCCCTTTGCCATTCATTCATGCCTGAAATTTGATAAGATCTTGCTTTCCTCCTCGCCTTTTGCTAAGGCTGCTGAACTACCTTTGGTTTTAGCTCTCACCCAGGGGTTGTCTGTCTGTCCGTATAGGCAGAGAGATGAAATTCAGGGTACTACTCAATCAATTGCGGTCTTGCAAATTTGTGCAACAAGCAGTATTTTGTGTCCTGTCATAAATGACATAAATGCGCATTCAAGGCATTTAAGCGAGTGGGAAGCCACTCACAATGTGAACAGCTTAATTGCTTGTTAATTGATCCATCAGTATTTATTTTACAGGGAAAAAAATCTGTTTATCTTGCAGCTTGCAAGTGCAATGGCCATGCTTCTATCTGCAACGCAAACACAGGGAAGTGTTTTTGCACCACAAAAGGAATCAAAGGAGAGGAGTGTCAGCTGTGAGTCAGCCTTTACAGATGTCCTTTTTATTGTCCATTCATTGTGCTCTTGATGGCATTGGGGTGGTTCTACATACTCCTGCATTCAATACTGTTTGCGCCCACAAAAGTTTCAGGGCAGTCAGACTGCTTTGTGAGCAATCAGTGCATGGCCCATAGCTCCCTACAGAAACCTTTTCACGCCACAAATGTTCCAACTTGGGGTGTGGGATCCAGCTTTTGCTGCACCAGAGTGCTGGGGTGCCCTCTCAAGGCACCAAATCAAATCCACTTATTTGTGTTAGAGCTGCTCCCAAGTGCTTCCTGTTAATGCTGGATACAGTCGTTCTTGTGGGGTGGCTTTTGTGTGTGTGAACGAGCAAAGGTTTCGCGGGTAATCACAGCCTGAGCATAAAAAAAGAGAAAAGCTTAAAAATCAAAGTCTGGTGGCTTGGTACCAGAGCACAACTGACTTTCATTTGGGGCCAGAAGCGAAGCTCATGTAGCTGTACCCCCCCCCCCGACTTCTCCTTGATGCCATGTGGTGACATTCCTGTTTCTTTTTCTGCAAGGATGCACATTTTAGCACAGCCACTGCAGCCAGATTGCAACAACACAAAAAAATGTACAAATGAAATCATGGTGGCTCCATAGGGCCCTCGTATCTACGGGACTGCCTCTCCTGGTCTGCCCCGCAGAGGACCTTAAGGTCCATGAATAACCATAGTTTAGAGGTCCCGGGCTCTAAGGAAGTCAGACTATCCTCCACCAGGGCCCAGGGCCTTTTCAGTGATGGCTCCGACCTGGTGGAATGCTCTGTCCCAGGAGACCAGGGCCCGGCAGAATTTAACCTCCTTCTGCGGGCCTGTAAGATGGAGCTATTCCACCCGGCTTTCAACTTCAACTTAGCCTGATCTTTTATTTCACTTCCCTCCCCCTCCCCTTTTATGAAGATCACCCGCTCTGAGACCCCACAGCTAATTCTCCCCTGGCCTCCTCGCTGGCCCAAGTAGGACCAATTCAGCCAGCTAGCCCTAGGGATTATCTAATGCTTACTTCCCCTAAATTGATTTTTGAATTTTATTGTTATTTGTGTTTTTATACAGTATTTTATGCTTCTTATATAATTGTCTTTTAAATTTGTTGTTAGCTGCCCTGAGCCCAGTTTCTGAACTGGGAAGGGCGGGGTCTAATTATTATTATTATTATTATTATTTCTTATCGGGAAGGGCGGGGTCTAAATATCATCATCATCATCATCAGGCGACCAACCTGCCCCCAGGGGAAAAAGGGCAGGTGGAATTGGGAGTGGCATGAACACCCACCAATGGGACTGGTGGAGTTAAATTGTGCATTCAATAATGAGGGAGCATTATATATAGATAACCACTTCAAATGCACTATTAATGCATCAGTGGCATCTTGCTGCATACGCCTGCTATAAAATAGATGACTGGATGGGGTGCGGTGACAGGTTTGGGTAACATGGTTGAAGCAGAATTGTGTCATAGTGCTGTTTTTGTGTGTGTGTTATGCACTGATGGAGGCAGTAAAGCTTCTGAATGCCAGGTTCTGGAAGCCTCAAGAGGGGAGAGCGTTTCTGCTGTGCCCATATCCTGCTTGCGGGTTTTCCACGGACATCTGGTTGGCCACTGTGAGAACAGGGTGCTGGACTAGGGGGGCCATTGGCCTGTTGCAGCAGTCTGTTCTCATGCTATAATAATGATAACAACAACAACAGCAACAGCAACAATTTATTATTTATACCCCGCCCATCTGGCTGGGCTTCCCCAGGCACTCTGTGCAGCTTTCAACAAAAGATTAAAATATAGTAATGCATCAAACATTAAAAGCTTCCCTAAACAGGGCTGCCTTCAGATGTCTTCTAAAAGTCTGGTAGTTGTTGTTCTCTTTGACATCTGGTAGGAGGGCGTACAAAGATTACCATAATAAAGGACAAAAGTGGTAAGGACCTAACAGAAGCAGAAGACATCAAGAAGAGGTGGCAAGAATACACAGAAGAATTATACCAGAAGGATATGGATGTCTCATACACCCCAGGTAGTGTGGTTGCTGACCTTGAGCCAGACATCCTGGAGAGTGAAGTCAAATGGGCCTTAGAAAGCACTGCAAATAACAAGGCCAGTGGAAGTGATGGTATTCCAGCTGAACTATTTAAAATTTTAAAAGATGATGCTGTTAAGGTGCTACACTCAATATGCCAGCAAATTTGGAAAACTCAGCAGTGGCCAGAAGATTGGAGAAGATCAGTCTACATCCCAGTCCCAAAGAAGGGTAGTGCCAAAGAATGCTCCAACTACCGCACAATTGCACTCATTTCACACGCTAGCAAGGTTATGCTTAAAATTCTACAAGGAAGGCTTAAGCAGTATGTGGATCGAGAACTCCCAGAAGTGCAAGCTGGATTTAGAAGAGGCAGAGGAACCAGAGACCAAATTGCAAACATGCGCTGGATTATGGAGAAAGCTAGAGAGTTCCAGAAAGACATCTACTTCTGCTTCATTGACTATGCAAAAGCCTTTGACTGTGTCGACCACAGCAAACTATGGCAAGTTCTTAAAGAAATGGGAGTGCCTGATCACCTCATCTGTCTCCTGAGAAATCTCTATGTGGGACAAGAAGCTACAGTTAGAACTGGATATGGAACAACTGATTGGTTCAAAATTGGGAAAGGAGTACGACAAGGCTGTATTTTGTCTCCCTGCTTATTTAATTTATATGCAGAATACATCATGCGAAAGGCTGGGCTGGATGAATCCCAAGCTGGAATTAAGATTGCCGGAAGAAATATCAACAACCTCAGATATGCAGATGACACAACCTTGATGGCAGAAAGTGAGGAGGAATTAAAGAACCTTTTAATGAGGGTGAAAGAGGAGAGCGCAAAATATGGTCTGAAGCTCAACATCAAAAAAACAAAGATCATGGCCACTGGTCCCATCACCTCCTGGCAAATAGAAGGGGAAGAAATGGAGGCAGTGAGAGATTTTACTTTCTTGGGCTCCATGATAACTGCAGATGGTGACAGCAGCCACGAAATTAAAAGACGCCTTCTTCTTGGGAGAAGGGCAATGACAGGCCTAGACAGCATCTTGAGAAGTAGAGACGTCACCTTGCCAACAAAGGTCCGTATAGTTAAAGCCATGGTTTTCCCAGTAGTGATGTATGGAAGTGAGAGCTGGACCATCAAGAAGGCTGATCGCCGAAGAATTGATGCTTTTGAATTATGGTGCTGGAGGAGACTCTTGAGAGTCCCATGGACTGCAAGAAGATCAAACGCATCCATTCTTAAGGAAATCAGCCCTGAGTGCTCACTGGAAGGACAGATCGTGAAGCTGAGGCTCCAGTACTTTGGCCACCTCATGAGAAGAGAAGACTCCCTGGAGAAGACACTGATGCTGGGAAAGATGGAGGGCACAAGGAGAAGGGGGCGACAGAGGACGAGATGGTTGGATAGTGTTTTCGAGGTTACCAGCATGAGTCTGACCAAACTGCGGGAAGTAGTGGAGGACAGAGGTGCCTGGCGTGCTCTGGTCCATGGGGTCACGAAGAGTCGGACACGACTAAATGACTAAACAACAACAACAAAGGAGGGCGTTCCACAGGGCGGGTGCCACTACCGAGAAGGCCCTCTGCCTGGTTCCCTGTAACTTGGCTTTTCGCAGTGAACAAACTGCCAGAAGGCCCTCGGAGTTGGACCTCAGTGTCCAGGCAGAATGGTGGAGGTGGAGACGCTCCTTCAGGAACATTGGACCGAGGCCGTTTAGGGCTTTAAAGGTCAGCACCAATACTTTGAATTGTGCTCAGAAATGTACTGGGAGCCAATGTAGGTCTTTCAGGACCGGTGTTATGTGGTCTCGGTGGCCGCTCCCAGTCACCAGTCTAGCTGCTGCATTCTGGATTAGTTGCAGTTTCCGGGTCACCTTCAAGGGTAGCCCCACATAGAGCGCATTGCAGTAGTCCAAGAGAGAGATAACCAGAGCACGCACCACTCTGGCGAGACAGTCTGTGGGCAGGTAGGGTCTCAGCCTGTGTACCAGATGGAGCTGATTCTTACATTGAACGTTTAGCCCACTATTGAGATTAAACCTGCCCAGGCTTCTGCAGCTCAGAAGAAGAAAGCAATCCTACTTTATAAACCCTGAATCCTGTTTTTAAAAAGTTGATCCATGGAGATGCAGAACTAAGATCTTGCTCTTCAGGAGTCCTATGAAGTTACTTGCGCAACACAATATATATTTGAAGAATCTATTCCCACCACTGCTTTCAAGATTTAGTGAGCTACAGGGTTATGTGATGGAAAATTATTAGATTTGAGGAGTGGGTGTGTTTGGTTGAACACTGTTTTGTCAGTACTGAAAGTCCACCCACCAGTTGAGAGACTCTGGGAAGGGGTAAAATTTTCCCCCTACTCAAGAAGCAGGGTCACGAATAGCCCATCTGTCCTCAAAAGACATCACGTTCAATACATAATGTATTATTGGCTGTGATAACCAGGGTGACCAGTCTACGAAGCCTTGCTCACACTCTTTAATTGGCTTTGTTTGCTCTGAGAGATATCGGCATATAACCAAATCTGATTGATTATGTAGCATTATGACATTAGCACATTTGCGTTTTGCTGCCCAATTGCCCGGAGGTCACTCTAGAAAGAAGCTATAAGCAGGAAATGAAAACTGGTGCCATCTCAGCAGCAGTGCATGGGAAATAATAGCAGGAAATAGGTGCTAGAAAAAAATAAAATAAATTCCTACATTAAGATGGTGTCATAGAATAGCAAACCTGTAGAGCTGGAAGGGACCACAAGGGTCATTTAGTTCAATGCTGTGTGAACAGGGATTTGGGGGTTTTTTTATTATCAAAAGTAGAAAGTACAGAAAACTATATGGGGTAGGTAGGAGTTTCTGTTCTGCTTGGAAAGCAGTAGTTTTGACTGCAATATTATTAAAAACAGGAAACATTTAGCACAGCCATAAATGCTACCTCCTTTTTCAGAGTGGATGGGTGGAGTACAGTGGTACCTTGGGATGCGAACGGGATCCGTTCCGGAGCCCCGTTCACATCCCGAACAGAACCTAAGATGTGACAGCATGTCTGCTCGTGCGCGGGTCACGTTTCGCCGCTTCCACGCATACATGTGACGTCATTTTGAGCGTCTGCACGTGCGTGAGCGGAGAAACCCGGAAGTAACACTCTCCATTACTTCCGGGTCACTGCGGAGCACAACCCGAAAGCTCTCAACCTGAAGCGTATTTATCCCGAGGTATGTCTGTATTGATGATGATGATAATGATAATGATAATGATAATGATAACAAGAAGCTAGATGTGGATAACCCCCAGTTTATTAGTACCTTTTAAATTTATGGTCCAATAGGGACTCCAGACAGGCAAAAGCCTTTAGTCCAGCTACCAGTATAAACTGGCAGAAGGAGGGAAGAGATGACCCTCTCCAGATGCAAGTTGAAGGATAGATGTGTCTTTCAGGAGGCTGGTCCCTTCCGTCACACAACTGCTGGTCCTGAAGGGTCCAGGAACAATATATCCCCCCCTCCTGGTTTTTCTTTTTGATGCTCAGGAAAAATAAACTGTTTCTGCTTCAAACACTTTCCATGCTCTACAAAACATGTAGTGAAACAAACCATCATTTCTCTAGCTCTCCGCCGCCTGTGGTTTCTTGTATTGCTTATTCCCAGCTAGCTTCTTAGATTATTTTAGGCAACTTTAAATGTTAGTGGCAAGGTTCTCAAATGTGTTCCAAATTTCAGTTTCATTACTCTTCCACCGGGTTTGCGTCGCCTCTGTTGGTCCCGAGTTGTTTGTTCTTTCGTCTCTTTGCATGCTGCTTTTTTATTTTTAATAAGAAGTGGTTTTCTTCCTGGTTCATGCTGGATGTGACTTAAAAGAAAAGCAAACAAACAAACATTACAATTTCAAGCTCAAGGGAAAATTAAGGCAGAAGGTCAACATTGCTCATGCTCTTTCTTCTAGGTGTGAGGTCGAAAACCGATACCAAGGCAATCCTCTCAAAGGAACGTGCTACTGTGAGTGAAAATTGTTTTTCTTTTGCCTGTACGTAAACTTGGTACTTGTACATCATCAGCTTGCTGCAAATGAGCTCAAAGGCATATAATATGCTGCTTTCTCTGTTGGCTGCTGCTTATTCTGGAGCTTCTCTCTCTCTCTCTCTCTCTCTCTCTCTCTCACACACACACACACACACACACACACACACACAGAGTCATATCTTGGTTTTTGAACAGCTTAGTTCTCGAACGTTTTGGCTCCCGAACGCCGCGAACCCAGAAGTGACTGTTCTGGTTTGTGAACTATTTTTGGAAGCCGACTGTTCGATGGGGCACCCATGGCTTCCGATTGTCTGCAGGACCTTCCTGCAGACAATCAGAAGTTGCGCTTTGGTTTCTGAACATTTTCGAAGTCGAACGGACTTCCGGAATGGATTCCATTCAACTCCCAAGGTACAACTGTTTGTATATTTGTAGGGGCAACCCCATTCTCTCTGAGTCTCTTCATTCCCTCCCCTTAGTGACTTCCTTTTCTGCCTCCAGTTCTTCCTGCACCCCTCAGTCTGTGTCCCCCCTGCCCTCCACTAATTTCTATTGCCGTTTCCTCATGCCAAACACACAAACTGTGCTATATAAATAATGTGTGTTGGTTCTCTAATCCAGGGGGTACCATTGGGTACCTGTGCACCTGTCCCGGTCACCCACAAGTCCTTTCCATGCTGAAATTAGATCTGAAAGCAGCATTCTGTTGTAGCCAACAGAATAGGTTGCGGTGTGTGCTTAGTCGTAGCGTGCGAGTGTGGCTCCTGCGACACTTCCTTGGGTTAGCAGATGTGCCCACGGGTCTGAAACGGTTGGCAACTTATGGCCTGATCGTTTCTGACAGACACCCTTGGAACGAGGGTCTATCTCTCTTTCTACTTCCCTAAATGGATGCACCCAGTGTTGCCGTTCCTAGGTGAGCTGTAGTTCAGCATTTTAGACTGCAGTTGACAAAACGGGCTTCAGTCTTGGCTTGAGGGGCTGCTGTTTCAGCTGCAGGTGCAATTGCTCTTATATCCAGTTTGCTCTTGCCTTCCCAAGAGGTGGTTAGGAACCTGTAGAGGCAAGAAGCAGAAGGGTCCTAGGAAGGAGAGAGGTGCGTCCACAGGAGAAGGGTGAAGGGAAGGAGAAGGAAGGTGCATGTCTGGGGGAGCAGCAGAGGTGATGGACTTGATACTAAGATTGAAATAGCAAGCTTTAATAGTTGACAGCAGGCTTCTCGTAATGGATATCTGTAAGAAGCTGGTCTAGACAGTTTGGTGATGCAGAGGCCTGTTTTCGCGGCCTATGACATTCAGAAAAGCTGTGCCATATTCTGTCCATAAAAATACATTTAAATAAAGATACTTAGAGATATGTGTAAGGGGTTGCTGATTTCTTCTGAAGCACCCTGGTCATTATTTTTGCCATTGGATAAAGGATAAGGATCAAAACCCTCCAGTGGAATTAATGATGTGTTTTTTATTCGGTGCGCGCGCACGCAGGCACACACATCTCCACCCACCTCGCATTTGTGGGTGCTTGAAAAGAAGTTAAAAGTTCCGATCCTGCCTGTGGGCTTGCAATCTAATAATAAAGTCAAGTCACATTAATGGAAAGGCTGTAAAAACAGAAGAGGGCCGGTTGGAGCGAGCAGATACGTGTTAAGGAGGCACTTGAAAGCAAAAGAGGGAAAAGAAAAGAAAGATAGCTGTGCGAATGCAAACAGTTTGTTTGCCTGAGCCTATTTTCATCCCACCTTTTCCTCTAATAGATGCTAACAATGCAATCATAAACAATTTAAAACGATCAAACAAGGCATTAAAAACCAATTAAAAACTAAAATGCAAACAGAGCGGCAGATAAAAACTAAATGAAGGATTAACCAGATAAATTAAATGCCTACAAGAACAAACAAGACTTAAGAAAGTGGTGAAAAGCCAGCAGAGAAGACGCCAGGTGTTGTACCGTGACCTGAGCCCAGCCTCCTTGCGCATTCCCACCAGACAGAGCGTAATGGCGGCGCATGCAACATACTGCAAAAACAACATTCCGCATGTGTGTAGCGCGAGGTTTTTCAGAGGCTTCCCTTGTATTGTTTGAGTCATGCTTCAGGAGCCCTTTACTATTGTCATCCTTGCTTCATTTGCTGAGCTGAGACATAGAGAGCAGGTGGCTAGATGGGCCTGCACTGGGTTGGGCCAGGCTATCCTGGGGGCTCTGTGGTCTGTACTCTTGGCTGCTGCCCTGCATCTGCTTGCACTCGCCCCTCTCTGCCTTCCTGCTCACATGCAAGGACCAGCCGTGCAACAGGCTCGTATTTATATCGTAAAGGTAAAGGGACCCCTGACCATTAGGTCCAGTCGTGGCCGACTCTGGGGTTGAGGCGCTTATCTCGCTTTACTGGCCCAGGGAGCCGGCGTATAGCTTCCGGGTCATGTGGCCAGCCTGACTAAGCCGCTTCTGGCGAACCAGAGCAGCGCACGGAAACGCCGTTTACCTTCCCGCTGGAGTGGTACCTATTTATCTACTTGCACTTTGCCGTGCTTTCAAACTGCTAGGTTGGCAGGAACAGGGACCGAGCAACGGGAGCTCACCCCGTCGCGGGGATTCGAACCGCGACCTTCCGAGTCCTAGGCTCAGTGGTTTAACCTACAGCGCCACCCGCATTGCTTATATCCTATGTCCCTTATTTATATCCTAGCAAGTAGCAAACTTCATGCCTCGGGCTGACTCTGGCTTTATGCCACGGCGGGACCTAACTCCAATTTGTGTACTTTTATACAGACACTCTCCTTATCGACTATCAGTTCACCTTCAGCCTTTCGCAAGAAGATGATCGTTATTACACGGCAATCAATTTCGTAGCGACGCCCGAAGAGGTTAGTAAATTATCCCAATTGCATTTCACGTTGTTTATTAAAATGCCCTGGTTCTCTCTGGCTGATGGTCAGTAGGCTGCATGCAGAGATCGACTCTTCTCTCCCCCCCCCCGCCCACAACAAGACTGCATGCACGCTCCTTTCAGTGCCTGTTTTGTGCTCATTTTGCACTGTGTGAGAGGCTCCTGCAGTTCTGCTCCTAGTGATGGAGAACTCAAGTTGAGATATATTGATGACCTCAAGGCGTACGTGTAATTAGCCGTGGAGTTCGTTGCTGTAATAAATGGCTGGTTTTGAATTTTTTAAAATTTAAATTATTTTTAAAACTTGCAGTTACACTGAGAGTCAACTTACAGCGACCATTGTAATTGACAATTTATACCCCTGCGTGTGAAGTCCTGTGGCCTTGGGGCTGACATTTCTAGGCCAAGGGCTGCGTGGTCAGTCCTTGAGGGGACAGTAATATAAGAGTATGTGTCACAGATGTGTAAATGTGGGCATGGTTCTTATTTAAATAAAAAAACACACACACTACTTGAGGAGTAGGGGGATCACAAAAAACATTTTGGCATAAGCAAGTCAGTTGTTTTTTTAAAAACCCCCACCAAAACCAATATTTTTTTTCAGTGGACACATTTGGGAGGGGTCCTCCAATTTTTACAAAAACGTTTTGACACCACAGTATCACAGGAGGGGGGGGGCACGTGAGAACAGTTGGTAATTTTAAAAACAAAATACGTTTTTAAATTTAATTTTGTTTTACTCATGGCAGAATCCAATTAGGGAGCCACACAACCATATTGACATCACGGCATCACTGCAGAGGATCCATAGGAGCAATCCATTATTATTATTATTATTATTATTATTAAAGAAATACACTTTTAGTTACAAATGGGTATTTGTCTCTATGCAGTGATCCAAATATATCTGTGGTTCCTGCTCTAACCAGTAGGAGGCAGATCCCCCCCCCTTTTTTTAAAGGGCTAATTGAGAGCTGGTCTAGGAAATGCCTCTTTTTCCTGAAAATAGATATTCTCTTAAAAAAAGTTGACACAGCCCTGGTTTCAGGAATCACACGGAAATAATGCATTTTGAGGGCAAAGCCCTGGTACATTTGTGCTATGGCTGTACCCTTGAGTCTTTGTAGTTCCAACCCTCTCTGCCTGCTGTTCTTTGCCATTCTGTGTTGACCACTCAGAATGGCCAAGATCAGTTTATTTTAGGGAGGGCTAGTCTGACTGTAGTGTGAATGGAATCTCTTAATTTTACCTTGCCTTTCTTGGAAGTCACAGGTTTAATCTCTGGCCTGCTGCTGCTTGACTTCATATTGGACATTTTTCTTTGCAGACCATGCTGAAGAAAGGTTAATTTACTTAGTAGTGCCTGCTGTGGTTCCTTGGGACATTATTATGGAAATGACTTTGGGAATTCCAGAGAACAAGTATACGCATAACCCAATGTGGGGTTTCCTGCTTGTTTTTTTTTTAAAGCCTCTTTTTGATTTATTGTTCTTAATCCTGAATAAAGTGGTATTCTGTGCAACTCAGAATCTTCCTGTCTCGTGAACACAGGGTAAAATTGTAGGATTTGGGATCCCATGTTCCCACTTCCTGAAATACAAAAAAATGCAAAAATATTTGGCAAACAGAAACGTAACCAGTGCTGTGTTTTAATGTGGCACAGGTAAGCTTGAATCCTATTGGGCTGTTTTAGGGGGATTTTGGCATGCCTTTGTTCTTGCCCAAGCAGTGCTGACAAAACTTGATGGAAGCTGCTCTCTCTGTGTGCAAGCCATTAATCTGTGCTGCTTTCTTTGTTCCCTGAAATCAGCAAAACAGAGACCTGGACATGTTTATCAATGCTTCTAAAAACTTCAACCTCAACATCACTTGGTCAACAAGTTTTGCAGGTGAGGACAATTCTTCTCGTTTCCAAATGCCCAGTGTCTGAACTAGAAATGTCTGGAAAGCAGTGGTGGCATATTTAAATCAGAGACCAGTGCCCAGATATTTGGCCAGTTCTGCTGAACCAGAGGCCAGTCCCCCTCTGACCTGGCTCTTTCATTGGCCTTGAACAGCCCAAACTCCTTCCATTGCCTCTTGGCACCCTCCATCCCTCAACTTCCTGCTCCTCATTGTTCTGCTTCCAGTCTTCCTATTTCCTCCTTAGCTAGACAGATCGTCTTTCTCACACAGTTGGTGCACAGCAACTCAGCCGGTGGCAAGAGGCAGCTCTCGGATCAGGCAGCCAGTTCTGGCTTATAGCCTCTTTATATGCAGATACCCTATGGGTGACTTAGGGATTTAGAAGGCTGCTGTGCCGTGTAATAGTCTGTATATTGAGGCATAACTTCACTCCAAAGATAATCTGAGAAACGAAGTAGAACAGTTTATCCGATTTCCAGATCTTGAATGCTTGCGTTGGCAGCCGAAATGTTAATTTTGTATGCAACAGTCGTTTGTGTGTTTCTTAATCGCAGTAATGAAACTGAGCTCAGTACTGTCTTGTTGAAACAGAATAATTTTTATTGTTTTATCAACAAGCGCTGCTGTATAATTTAAGAGCACCCCTTGTAATGTTACCAAGGATTTGCACAAAAGCATATATCTTTATTTCATTTCAGTTATATTTTGGCTTTGCCCCAAGGGCTCCTCTCACCCCAACCCATTTTGCCCTTCCAATAACCCTTTGAGGTAGATTAGTTTGAGAGGGCTCAAGGCCACCAAGTAAGCCTTGTGGCCAACTGAAGGATTTGAACCTGAGCCTGAAAATCTTCACTCCCGACAGATGAGAATGTTTCTTTTAAAATACTCCCAACAGCTGGCACCCAGGCAGGGGAGGAGATTCCAGTGGTTTCAAAGAGCCAAATCAAGGAGTACAAGGACAGCTTCTCCAATGAGAAATTTGACTTCCGCAACAATCCCAACATCACTTTCTTTGTCTACGTGAGCAACTTCACCTGGCCAATAAAGATACAGGTAAGAGAGCCTTCCATTCACATAAGCACTAGAAAACGACTGGAATATATGGGAACTGTTCTGTATACTCTGTTCTGTTTGTTTGTGCTGATGTCCGATACTCCAACAAATGCTCAGGTCCTGTACTGTATATATTTGTATGCTAGAAGCCTTCTCCTATTGCCATTAATAATAATAATAAATTTTATTTATATCCCGCCCTCCCCAGCCGAAGCTGGGCTCAGGGCGGCTAACAACAATAAAACAGTACAAAAGTACAACACAACAACACTCTAAAATCATTCATTATAAAATTAATTCAAATCAAGCCACTGGCAATCGTTGGGCCAGAGCTCTGCAAAGATTGCCGAGGGAAGGAGTCAGGCTGTGCCCTGGCCAAAGTCCTGATGGAACAGCTCTGTCTTGCAGGCCCTGCGGAAAGATGTCAAGTCCCGCAGGGCCCTGGTCTCTTGTGACAGAGTGTTCCACCAGATTATCACTATTTTGCTGTGATCTAACTTACTCTGCAGCCTCAGTGCAATTCAGATTGTGTCGGTTGTTGCTTATGAGATCTCCTGGGTGGCTAAAGGTTGTAGGTTTTATGGGGCCGCAGCATTTTTATTATCTTTCAACTTGAGACCATTCAGACGGTGCTTGTGGAATGTCTCCATCTTAAGAAGCAGTCTGTTAGTGCAAACCCCATTTTTAAAAATTGGATCAGAGTACTTGTATAATGGAATGAACCCTCCCTCCTGCTGTGTGTGCTTTCATCTCCCTTCCCTACCTGGGTTTCCTCCCCTGTGGGGGCACTTCTGCAGAACTCCATGCCCGCTGGTGGGCTTCTCTATCTTCTTCTTCTTTGGTGATCACTCGTAGCTGAGTAAGATTGTCTTCCATGAACACGGTCTTAACCGTAGGTCTTTAAGTGACTGTGGAGGTCAATTCTGGATCCACACGTCCTTCCGCAGTGGGGACACAGGTTTCCGGGCGGGAGTTAATCACGGTGAGGGTTTGCCAAGTGTGCCATCCTCTTAGCATGTTTCGTCCTGAGTTCGAGTATCTTCAAAGCCTGTGACACCTTTAGTAAAGACAGTTCTCCAATTGGAGTGCTTGGAGGCCAGTGTTGTCGGTGTTTATACCACTGTTTTTTTTAGATTCGCCTTGAGTCTTTAAACCTCTTTCATTGATCACCAGCATTACGCTTCCCATTGTTAAGTTCGGAATACCGTTTTGAGACCATGCATGGCGAAAAGCAGTCTGTAAATGCGGCAAACAGAATAAGAAATAGTATAAACAGCAACAAATGGATGCAAATGAATTGGATGTGAATGTGATAAGCTCCAAGTTGAAAGGTACACGAAGGACTTAAGCAGTGACATGGACGGTGGCTCCGTGACCTTAACCAGTTGGCAGCAGGCGAGCAGGAACTGTGTATCGCTATCCTTGCTAATTAAATCAGTAAGAAAGCCTGGCCAAGAGTTATTTATTGTGAGTGATATCACACTTCCCACTAGCCTTTTTTTGTGCAGCCTTCCTTGTTGGTGTGGCCAGTCTCCCTGTCAGTGCCCTCCTTTGGCAAGAGCTGGGTGTTGAAAGATGGGTCAAATCCCCTGCCCATCAACCCGTTAGGAACTTGGCCTGCCATGTGCTTGAATCCGAACACGGCCGGAGGAACTGTACAGCCAACTCTGCATGTCTGGTCTTGGTCTCTCTCCCCCTGCCCCAAGTTTAGCAGTGGGGTGGAATGTAAAAAAAGCAAGCCAACTTGTATTATTGAAGGGAAGGAGAAGGGGTTGCAGTTCGATAAGTGGCAGAAATGCCACGTGGGCAATGCCAGACCCTGTTGTACATAAAGGAAGGTGTATGTATGCATTGACTTGGAGAGAGTGAAAAATGTGCATTCCCTGCCCCCAAGGACTCATTGGCAATAATGATAGCCTTTCCCTCTAAAGCTAATAGCCGAGGCAGGAGATTTTTTCCCCCCTAGCGTTCAGACTGGGGAGAAAAGGGTCCCAATGGAAATTAGGGACCCTCACACCCATTATTAAACTTAAAAAAAACCCGAGAAAACCCTGATATGCTTCCAAGTGGCGCATTTAGTGCTGCATGTAGTTTGGCCCACAGTGGAGAACTGAAATAGGATGAAATTACATGTTCAGTGTAATTCCTTTTGTTTTGCTGTTTACCCATTCTTAGTCACTTTCATTTTCTCTCATTTTAACCTGAAGCCAGTATTTGTATTCTTAATTTGGGCAGCTTAATTAATGTGCTGGCGCATTTCCCCTCCTTTGTTAACTGACGCTTAAGTTTTTGTCCTGTTGTGGTGTGTGCCAGATATAAGGCTTTTTAAATCTCTGGGAAGAGCCGCCCATTGCAAGAATCCATCGTAGATGTTGGTCCTTAGATCGCTCGCCCTTGTTTGTCCTGGAGTTCCTGTTTCAAGACTTCCTTGTCCTCCTGGCTCTCCTTTCCCCTCTGCCTGGTTTTCTTTAGGAAGCTGCAAGCATATAAATGCTCTTTTGTACGACTGATAGTTGTGCATTTGCCAGTGCTGAGCTCCCACCCTTAAAATATTGCTCCACCTCTCTTCGAAACCACCAGTTGGTTTTAAAAGTATATTGGTGTAGAATGTCCCTCCCTCCCTCCCTCCTAGCTTCCTTCATTTAAGCAATCTCTTCTATAAAAAGCTCTCTAGAATTCACAGTTAGCAAAATGTAGATCACCGTTCTTTAAAAACTTGAAGTTAGTGTCAGTGTTTACTGAGTCGGTTCAGTTTAAGCCACTCTGGCTTGTGACAGCCACATTGTCAAGTCTGCTTAAGTTAGTTTGTCAGCTTCCTTTGGGGAAGACGGGTAAGTTCTTGTTGGATACAGTTTGCCGTCTGCGCTGCAAATGGTTGGTGTTTGTTATAAAAAAAGGGGTTCATTTCTGATTTAGAAAATTAATCGTCTGCAATCGGTTTGTCTTATTTATGGTTTCAGTTTTAATTTAGTTTATTTGGCACGTGCCGTGCGGAATGAGCCTTTCTAGAAATAGAATTGGCAAATTCGTCTTCTGCATGCTGTATAACCACTGTAGGTGTCGATCATCTGCAAAGTAATATATGAGAATGGCAGTTTCATGTTTCAGATCCCCATCCTTCCCCCCCCCCCTGTCGGTTTGCACAGTGGTGAGAGTTGTTACAGGGTGTCGTGATCTCAGAGGGTTAAGCTTGGTGGTTTTTAGAAGCCTCCGAACTGAGAAGCAAAGAAGTTGAGTTGTAGAAACCAGCAGTGGAATTTTACAGATGGCTCTCAGTTCAAGCAAACAAAGTAAAGCCGCCCCCCCCCTTTCTACCTTGGCTCATTTTTTCACTATATCTGACAAGTTAGTAATGGGAAACACTTCAAATCTCCTTTGATTGTGTTGTGTCAGCAGTTTTACACGCCAGTGTTAAAGTTCTCCTCCCCGTGTGTGCTAGCGGTTCTGTAGTTTGGTTTGACGTAGTGGCACAAACATCGGAGTCCAAACGGAGCTCATTTGAAAGCTCTGTCAATTGGTGACTGAATGAGAAAGCCTTAGAAGTGTGATGGGCACTCATACTTGACGGTGGCATGTTCTGACCTTACACCCGCAGTGAGGATTGTAAGGTCAGTGGTACTTCTATTTCCTTGGCAGTGCTACAAGCTGAGTCTCGTGCCCAATAATCAGTGTTTGAGGGTGCAGGTATTATTAACCTATCCATTTTGTTGTACTGATTTGGGTTGCTGTTGCCCTTGAGGTTCCTTCTGGAGAACCTGGAGGCATTTGCACAATACCAGACCCTCCAAGTGTCCCGGGGACATCCCTGATTTAGAGAAGCTGTCCTGGTTTCTGATTTGATCCCAGAATGTCCCACTTCTCCTTAGGACAGGGGTGCCCAAACTTTTTTCAAAGAGGGCCGGATTTGATTAAGTGAACATGCATGAGGCCCGACCAAAGTTGTTGAGCTTTTTCCACAATTTTACCCCAAAGTTGCTGGAGATTTTTTAAGGGTTTTACCCCAGGACATATATTGCCACGGGGGCCGGATTAAATCGACCGGGAGGCCGGATTAGGCCCCCAAAATGGACTTTGAACATGCCTGCTTTAGCATGTTTCTATTTTCACTGGAAAAATGTTGGAGGGTATGGAGTTATCCAACCCCCGAGCCGTCTGAAGTGAATCCTGTATAGGCAAGTTTTTTTTCTTAATGTTTAATGTTTCATTATGTTTTTATATATGTTGGAAGCTGTCCAGACTGACTGCAGCAACCCAGTAAGATTTGTGAGGTATAAACAATAACATTATTGGGACGCGGATGGCGCTGTGGGTAAAACCTCAGCGCCTAGGACTTGCCGATCGTCAGGTCGGCGGTTCGATTCCCCGCGGCAGGGTGCGCTCCCGTCGTTCGGTCCCAGCGCCTGCCAACCTAGCAGTTCAAAAGCACCTCCGGGTGCAAGTAGATAAATAGGGATCGCTTACCAAGCGGGAAGGTAAACGGTGTTTCCGTGTGCTGCGCTGGCTCGCCAGATGCAGCTTGTCACGCTGGCCACGTGACCCGGAAGTGTCTGTGGACAGCGCTGGATCCCGGCCTCTAGAGTGAGATGAGCGCACAACCCTAGAGTCTGTCAAGACTGGCCCGTATGGGCAGGGGTACCTTTACCTTTAAACAATAACATTACCATTATGGAATAGGGTGTCCCTATTTTTGTTGGAGAAATGTTGGAGGGTATACAATACCTACACCTATTTACTCTGCTCAAAGCACCAGATACACAATATAAGTGGAACCAGAGAAGTCGCATGTGTACAGCACAGTGACAAAAACTTTTTTTAAAAAAAGTGCAAGCTCCATCGTGAAATGCAAATCTCCTGTGTCACTTTCTGGCTTCAGTTGGAGGTGGGAATTGAGTAATTTCATACTGGGGGTGTGTGTTATTGTCCCTGCAATCAAAATGTTCAGGGAGGCATTGAGATGCAGAATTAAATGAAGGAAGCGTCCGAAAGAGGAGCTGTTATAG